ATACAATTATGCTTATATTTTTTATATCTATTGCAGAAGCCATTGCTTACCTAGAAAGAATGGATATAGTCGGAATTATGTAAAGCAAAGTATGTAGGTGAAGGAAGAGAGTGATGTGTTGGAGATAGAATTTTATTCACAAAGTCATCATCACTAGAAGTAACGAAGAAATTTCGTATAACGTGTGGGTGTAAAGCCAGATACGTCGCCGACGTACACGGCTGATTAGGTGGTATCTATCACCTCACCTTTGCCTTTTCTTCTATCACAGTTTCTCTGAAGCTTACGGGTCCGTCCATCGGTCCATGTGTTTGCGTAGCATATCAACCGGGCTAGTTAAGTCTTCGTCTTCGTCTTCATGAAAATAATTTGTAACTGCTAGATTAATAGCACTGATAGGACTTTTCTGAAATACTCCATGATGAAGACACGTGTCCTCGGTATTTACCAAAATACTGTTACTAAGATCAAGCACCATCGGCGCACAAGGTCCTCGCCCCCGAGGTACTCGTCATATAGGATCATGGCATTCAGTACGTTTTTCAACCAACACGTAGCCTCGGTCTGATATGGTACCTTGGTCGGTATCCCTCCCTCGGTTCCGAGATGAGTCTTTCCTCGGTGCCGAGGTGTACCCCGTCCTGGACGCCTCCTCTACTCCAGGATAAGCTATTGACGTACAGGTCATTAGCCTAGGCTAGTCTAGACTATTCATCATGACCTCGTCTTACACAATTAGTGTCAGAACGTACTGGAATGCAGGGGCCACAGCCAATGGGGGATGGACGCGTGGCATACGATATCACATCAAAAACAGAAAAGCCGCATGCCGTTGCTGACACGCGACTTGGGAACACAAACGATTAATTGCACCACTCCCTTGACGAGACTGCATTCAATGCGGTAAGGCTCGAAAATGAAAGGCAATAAATGCTCCTAATACAGAGCATTTATTGTATCCTCCCCGAGAGGAGTACATTGTACCGTCGGCATCCCGATGACCCAGCATTGATTGCTCGGGACCCCGAGCAGTTAAGAAGAGAAGACATTCCTCATTAGAATCAGTGCGCACACTGCCTGTACCTAATGATCACTTACTGACTACACTGACAGCAATCATGAGCTTTTAAGGTATAAATACTCCTTGCAAAAGACAAGACAGGTATGCAACAAAAAACTCTTTATTACAATACACACTCAGTGTTTTCTCCTTCCTCTCTCTCTCTCAAAGACTGACTAGATCGTCGGAGGGGATACGCCGGAAAACACTCCGGCGCCCTTCTAACTTGTTCTTCTTTGTTCCAGGGACCTCTTTCAGCCTTACTGGATCGTTCTTCCGCTCCCCCAGGGTTTCCCGTTGCCGTTCCAGGTTATCACCGGACCTCGCAGGCTGTTCCAAGCAGCGTGGTTGGTCACTCGAGTTCACCAAGAGAGAGATCTGTTCTCATTTTTTATATTGTGCAGGATCTTGTACGCACAAGCACCAAAGACCATTCCCCACACGGGTTGGTTTCTTAATCAGATAAAGGTGGCGACGTTAATCTGCACATTCGTTCGGAGTTCAAGTTTTGTTGACTTTGTAAACCTACAAATTGAACGATTCGTATGATTTTGTAAATAGTTGTGTACATATAAAGTTTGTGTTGTAATTATGAGTCTAAAAAATGGGTGATTAGAATGAATTCTCGTTAATAAAAAAATAAGAATTAATTGCAGGGAAGGTCTTTAAAATATAGAATTTATCTCATTTTAGTTTCTGATATTTCAATTGTATTATTTTAATCCCTGAAATATTGAATGTTTTGATCCCTCCAGCAGACAACATTTAAATTATTAACGATTTTTTATCATAAACTTATCATGTGATAACTAAATATGGATAAATAATAATTTAAGTAACTCTTGACCAAAAATGTATAATATGGGTAGTTCTTGACTAAAATTTAGAAAGTTCATGATCAAAATTGTGTAATTTAAATAGATTTTTGACCAAAATTTCAGTAAAAAACTGGTCAAGAGTTATCTAATTTTTATTTTTTTTTGCTCGAATTTAGGTATTATGTAACAAGTTTATCAATAATATTAATAATTTTGATACTATCTACTTGATGAATCACATAAAAATATACTAGGAATAATTCGTGTCTAAAGACATGGGAGAATGTAAATTACTTTAAGAGTGATGTTAATGGTTATTATATGAGTCTATTTAAAATCGTCGGCTGAGTTTATTGAAAATTATTCTGTTTTATATTATAGAAATTCAATACTCCAAAAATTAAGATGTGAATTAAAATGAAACAAATTTTATTCTTTTAGCATCTTCAATGTCAATGCAATTAACTCTAAAAATAAATAAAAAAGTTATTGCCAGAGAGAGATAGAGATAGAGAAAGATAGAGATCTATCAGTTGCCAAGTCAAGCAAATGCTCCAAAGTCATAATAATGTACACATCATGGGATTAAATGGTCGATCCTGTTGGTAGTTTCTCACATTGCTGGTAGAGTCTTCGGCTCCAAGAAAATAGATGTTGGACTTTAGGGTACAGGGTGGTGCTTCCTTCCTAACTGCTGGCCCACCTCTTTCATTTTTAATTTTTTTTTTCATTTTTTATTCAATAATTGTGACAGTGATTGCCCATATTAGTGTATCATTCACCAGTACTTTTCTTATGTAGTTCCTGTACATTTACGAAAAAGGGTTTTTCTTTAGTAATTGTACAAGGCTTTTTATCACTACAAACTCTCAATTAAAAAAAATATAATAAAAATCAATGCGAACTTACTCCCAAACCCTGTAGTTCAGTGCCACTTAACGTCCCGTTAAATTAAAAGTCTTTCTTGAGACCCAAATTCAATCTATGAGATATAGAGTATTGAATTACTTTTAACGGTTTAATAAAGTTAAGGTTCGTTTATAACTTACGTCTATTTCAAGGAATACCTATAGTTCCAGTCTTCTACAGTGAGTGATAGTTTTTATACAAGAGGAGACACCATGTGGATTATCCTTCATTCTTAATACAAACTTTCCTAGCGTTCTAGTTCAAAATTGGTTTATTTTTTAGGCTACTTCGCAATAATTACGGAATGAATTTTCATTTTTTTTTTAGTTCAGCGATTAGAGTGTTCGAACTAATTTATGCGCACCTTGACTAATTTTATGTATGATTCCTTAGAATTGTCAGGATGTTTAAATTTACAACGCATCCCTATTACCGAATGAATTCTTTGAATCATCTTTAGTCTAGGAAGCACGGATACTTCAAAAGGGTCTCGGATACTTTTGAATACGGATACGCGTCAGATACGTACCGGATACGTTTGAGAAGTATCCTAAAATTTTTTAAAAAAAATTAATTTTCGGATACGGGCGGATTCGTTTTGGATACGTGTGAGATACGCCTAGGATACGCATAAGGATACGGCGGGGTATTACTCGAATTTTTAAAAATTATAGGGGCATAAGAGCAATATATTTAGGCCCTTATTTGCAAAAAAAAAATATATTATTAAACTAAAAGATTAAAACCTGTACACTTTTCTTCCACAGCCCGTCAAGTCTCCCACTCCCTTCAGTCGATACTCGACGACAATCGTCTCTCTCTCTCTCTCTCACTCACACTGACGATCGACTGACTCTGATGGTTAATTATTATTATATATCTTTGATAGAAGTGTGATTTACTTTATAAATCATAATTATTACATTAAATATAATAATAAGATTTTAAAAAATATATATTTTATGGACGTATCCTAACCGTACTCGTATCCTATTTTTTTTTGTTTTGCCATATTCCCATACCTGTATTGTATCGTGTCCGTGTCCGTGCTTCATAGTCTTTAGTACATATCTATTTTTGTCCCCCGTACCAACTCCTGCCAAACTTATAACTAATTCTGGGTGTCACTTTGTTTAGAACTTAAACTAAGGAGGCATTTAGGAAGATAAGTTTGTTAACCAGCAAGGCTATATAGCAACCGTTACCATAGAAGCTGCCCCGCATGGCCGGCCCTACGCATCGACCATTAGGTCCCTGCTTAGGGCCCCATTTTTATTTTTTTAAAAACTCAATTAAAATAATTTTAGAGCCCTTAATTTTATAACTTTATATACAATTTATGAACCAATAAAAAAATTGACATGATAATAATGAGTTTGGATCTAACCTTTGTAGATTTGGACAGTAAATTGATGAAATTATTTGATCACTCAAATTAACAAGTCGACATGACCCTAATAAAACGCGGCATAAACCCATTACACTATACATGATTGTAAGTACTACAAACACATATTAAGCAAATTCTAACACGATATGATCTAATGATTATTCTTATATTACCTTTTTTTTTTTAATCTTACTTATGTTTAAGTAAATTCCGAAAAAAAAAAATGAGTTATTTCTTCACGCAATACTTTTAATTTAAAAAAAAAAATTAATTTAAATGAATATTAATATTTATTTTGTTGTATCCATATTATTATATTGCATAGCACTAAGCCCTCACTGAATATTTTTGTCTAGGCCCCCATATTGGTTGGGCTGCCCCGATAAACCCAAGTTAGTCTGGCAAGTCCAATCAGAATGATAAAGGTGGACTCATCCTGCCCTCAATGAAATTCATAAGAAAACTCGAGGTAAACCTCACTAGAAGTCTAGAATTCCGAACAATCTATCCTCGAGGAAATTATTCCTTGAAAATGCGTTTTTTAACAAAATACCTAAGATAACAGCACCTCTCAGGTTTCTGCCGCCCACGCCCACCGCCACCCTGCCCTCGTTAGAGAAGACGCTTGCAAAGCGGGAAAGGACAGAGAAAGCTTCCAAACAAGCACTCAGAGCGGCCTCCCTATAGATGATCTAATCCCTCAGTCCATCGCGGACCCCAAAAGAAAGCCTTTTGCTTGGATTTTATAGAGAGAATGAAGCTAGAAAACACTTCAAATCACTACTCCTAGATTTATGAATAAAAACACTGAATCTGAACTCGCTTACTCTTTTATGCTAGATTTATTAATAGAGTCTCCAGGTTTGGCTGATTCTAGAATTAAGAGAGCACTTCTCATTTCAGTACTTTTCCCCTTCCCAAACCAGAGAAGCTTCTCAAAAAGCTGAGAATAAAGAAAAGGGGAATTTCAGGACAGAAGAACACAAACACTATATAAAATTTGAGCTTTCCTGGCTTGAGTTTATGTCGTCTCACCTGTACAAAGCAACTCCTGAAGTTTCATCCATTCAAGTAACTGGATTTTAAGTATTGTGATAGCCATGAATTTTAGTTTTGTACATATTCTTCGAAACAAAATTGGCACTCTATGCAAGTTTTACTGCATAAAAATGATGCCAGCCTGTGCAGTTGCAACCATGATAGAGAACTGAATTGAGAACTAACAACAATGATGAGTACAAGAGCTCATGAACATTGGTAATTCTAGTTCTAAATAGATTGCGTCTCCTGGTAATTCTTAACAGGACATGTATTGTTTAGAGTGTAAAAAAAGTCTTAACAATTGAATAGGCAGTGTGCATAACAGATTAATTTCAACAGTTGACAAAATTTCAAAGTTTATTCCTGCTAAATTGCATCCTTCCTAAAGGAAGGTCCACGATCTAGAATATAAATTAGCATCAACAATTCAATAGCTATAAGAAACGGGGGTTTTACTCTTATTACTTATCCTAATGGACTGATTTATACTATGAATGCAATCTAAGCCTTGTATGTCAAGTTTCTTTCTCTTTTTCCTGTTTCTTACTGAAAATACAGGGTTGATCAAATGAAGAAATAAAACTACATGAACTTCTATATGTCGAATCTTGTGTTTTAACTTATTTTAATAGAAAGCAAGTTTCTAAGAAGTGCCTCCACCCAAACCCTTAATAGTCGTACGGCTGTTATGTGCGCCACAGTTTAAGGATATGATGCTAGTTACATATCATCCAAAACCCTTAAAAAAACTTCTTTGGTTTCTCAATAAATGTTTTCATCTCTGCATTCACGAGTTAATAGTGAATGCTAAAAGAAAAAAGAAAAGCAATGAAAACAGTCCAAGTAGGATATCCAGATTTAACTTCATCAACATATCCATAACCCGAAAGCAATTTAACTATGTCTAAGGTGGGGTTGTGTACTTCAGATACATGCGCTGATATGTTCACAATTTCTTTGTAAATATCGTTGTGTAATTCCCAAAACAACTGCACAAGCTTTTTGCACATAGATTATTGTTTTATGGTAAAATAAATATGCATGTGACTTTTCCATTATCATTTGATGTATAGGGTTTATGAGTTAGCACACTCATCTCAACTACATAGTCGACAAGCCCTACGAATTCACATGTTGGCAACCTTTTGTTATGATGATATCCAAATTACCGTTTTTTATGCAGAACATTCAAGATCAACAAACCAATTAAGAGATAACTAAAATTAAAAAGTGGATTTGAAGGGAAATTTCACAAGGCTTCTTGGCTTCAAATTGCATTAGTTAATTACAGAAAGCATTGTAAAAGTAAAATAAATTTTACTGATCTCACAGTTAATTTTCTTGAAGAGTCTCACTTGAATCATTGATTCTCCGTAGTCAATTCCTTTTGATCGCCGTCTTCGTTTAAATTTCCAAATTTATGCTTGAAAGAGTCTTGTCTCTGTAACCACATCATGTGCCCCTGCATTCACATCATTCGAAAACACACATAAATCCCTCTAATTTCATGAAAAGCTCATACATCTGAAAAAGCTTGAACACTTGCTCTTACATGGAATTACCTGTAAAGCAGCAGCCCAAGCAATGAGGAAAGAGGCGACCCACAATTTTTTGTCCTTGAGGAGCTTCTTGGCATCAAACCTCTTAGCGTCGTCCATTGCCGATATATATCCTAAAACCCTAAACCCTAACCCTAGAATTTCAGAGAAATTTTTTTTTTCCGTTTGCTTTTTGATTGCCTGTAATTGGGTATGTACTTTCACTTGCTGTGCTCAGAGAGTGGGGCTGCGTTCTGCTACGGGCTACTCTTCCCAACATGAGCCGCATTTTTTTTACAGGTCAATGTGACTTTTAAGTTATAAATTATGGAGAAATTTGGAGGCCAGTCTTTTTTACGTGAAATTGTTTAAACTTAAATTCATCAATAAAATTTATTAGTTATAAAATTTATTTTTTATCAATTTTACCATATTATCCATTTTCTTTAAAAGAGAAATAAAATTAAAAATTTATAAATCTTAGGAATTTGACTAACATTAAAATTTTTTCTCTCTCATATCTATCTATATTCATATATAGGTTAAGAGTTTGACTAACATTAAAATTTTCTCTCTCTCATATCTATCTATATTCATATATAGGTTAGATATATATACCCTTATTTATAGAAGTCAGACATGAAATCCGAATTTTAAAATTATCTTATACTATTCACAACTTTATATTGTTCACAACTTTAATAATTTACAATGACATCATTGGTTAAGTCATAAATATTGTACACTTTTACTATATATTATTCAGAGTCTTCATAGTGACGTTAGTGCGTTCGTCACTTCTTTATGGTGACGTAAGGGCGTGCATCACTTCTTCTGAGTCAGCTTTATCCGAAAAATCAATTTTATCTGATTATTTTCTGTAAAGTAAATTACACAGTACATTATCGCTGTCATCATGAAGGTTTATCTTCATATCATCATTTAACAAATTTTCATTTAACAAAATTTCTTTAATAGTAATATCACTTTTAAGAGGGGTATATCCATGAGAATCCATAAAGTCGTCATCAGAATTAATAGGAGTGGGAGAGTTCCTATTTTTTTTCTCGACTTCATATTTTCCTTTGCCTTTTATGGCAACTGAAGGAGTATTAACAAGATCTATCTTTTCAGTTTTGCCCCTTCCAAATGTAGACATAACTTGAAGACGGAATTCCTCCATAACTGCTGCTTTAAACTGTTTAGAATTTAAATGGGGTTTTTCCTTTTTAATTAATTCTTTAAGAACTTCAACAGGACTGAAATTAATTTTAATATTTATACTGGTAGTGAGAACAACGACTGTAGAAATTGAAGTTTTATCAGTAGAAGCTTTATCTTTTTCTTTATTTATGTCTTTAAGACATTCCGCTATGATTTTACATTTAGACTCAAGCGGATAATTTTTTCAAAAATGAACTTGATATTCCCTAATTTGTTTGGGATCATAAATATCATAAGAATATATCCTTTCAATAAAGTTAGAGAAAAATGTATAATTAAGCTCCATATATGGAGACAAAGTCAAAGGTTTAGGTATAAAAAGAGATTTATCTCCGGATAACTTTTTTTTATTGTCAACTTTATCTGACAAAAATGTAACAACTTTAAATTGTTTTGATAGATTAGCATCAATATCACCTTTATGTGATAATCTCTTTTATAGAGAATGGAAGATAATAAATATTTTTATATGTATTAAAATAATATGAACTTTTATACGCATAAAAAATATTTTTATATTCATCAGAATAGTATGCATTTTTATATGTAAAAACTTGGGTTCTAACCGTTATACCACCAAGTTTATTTTATCATTTCTTGACAAAATCTTTCAGGGACTATATTTTTTATCCATTGTTTATATTTCCAATCATAATACCGGTCATTAAGTTCAAGTATAAGATGAAATTTTAAAGATTCTTTTAAAGATTCTCATTGACATCTTGCAATTTTAAGCAAAAAGATAGGGTCATGATCAATTAATTGATCTTCTATAGAACTACAATAGAGACAGCAGAGTGAAACCTTGCAATAATTATTACGCCAGGTAGAAGCAAAGCTAAAAAAATATTCACCTCCATAATCACAAATATAGTCAAGAAGTTCAGGAGATTTGACAATAATATCCAAAGAAAATAAATCTGAGTTATAATTCATTTTCTGAAACTTTTTTGACTTTTCTTGCAAAATAAACATCACTTCCCCATATATTAAAAGTTGATGAGAAATTTAAGTGATTTTCTTTATAAATCAGTTTTTCTTTTATCTGATTTATCAATTTTATTTAAGGTGGAGTTATAAACTCAAATAATATTTATTGATCATTTCTAGTAGTCAAAATTCCTTTAGAATCAATTATTTCTATAGGTTCGATTAAAGATAAGAATGGTGTTCCCAAAATTACTAATTAATTTAAATTATCAATGAGCATAAATGTGATAGGAATACAAATTTCTTGATTACATACAAAAATATTAGTAATTTTGGAATGTCCAGCTTTTATAAATAGGGGTGCAGGCCCGACCTGTAGAGCACCACCCCCCTTACCGCCTCTACATCTACTCATTCTTTCCTTCCTCCTTTGCACCCTCTATGAACCCTCTTCTTTTGTAAAAAACCTCTATCTTCCACCTTCCACCACTACTACTGTAAGTGTATTTTGTACATAAAATTTTGAATTAAATAAAAGCTTTCGCTGACATTTTGTAGATCGATCGATCCTCCCCTTTCTGGTATTATAGCCAAGTGTATGGTAGCTTCAATATATTTTGTTGATTTATGTGCAGATCTATTACTAATTCTTGTTGCTTATGTAATTGTGATTTAATTCTGTTAGACTACTGTTGCTATGAAATTGTTAGAATAACTTTGTTATACTGATATTTTTTGAACCTGTATTGTTTGTTACATTATGTTATAATGATTTTTTTTTTGGACTTCCTATGGTTCCGCACCAAAGTCGCGTGTGAGATGTTAGGTCGTTTTAGCCGTTGGAATGATAGGCGTAAGGCAGTTTCTGGTGCCGGTATCGTTGACAGCAAGAGTAGGATGTTGAAAATATCATTATAGCAGGACTTAGCTAACAATAGGATGGTGACAACATCATTATAATAGAATTATTTTGACAATAGTTATTGTAGCAGTACTGTAGTAGAATTAAAAGACGAATTACAGTAGCAACTAGAAGAAGGTAATAGTGAAACATATAAGTCAATAGAACAACATTTGAGATACCACTATGACTTTAAACCTATTTAAGTTTAAATTTAATCATAAAGAAGATTATATTAAAAATATGGAAGAGATATAATTCTCTGATATTGAAAATAAATTGCAGAACTTGGATGTACTCCAGTACCCCATTAAAAAAATTTATAATATTGACACTTTTGATTTTAAATCGAGTTTAACTATCAAAAGGATTGAAAGGACTATTCCTTTTGATCAGAATGGAGATATTTTACAATTGTTAACTGAATGAGAAGTCTTAAAAGTTCAAGATAAAGATTATAAATTTTTGTATATTGGATTAATCCAAGTTGCTTTAAAACCTTTAACTCTTCAAGGATTAAATGCCTCTTTTATGTTAGCATTACGAGATGCTAGATGCTTTAATTTTAATCAATCTTTAATGGGAGTTATGCAATTCAGCTTAAGTACTAGTTCTGTTTATTTTAACTGTTTTCCTAATCTTTCTGTATCTTTGACAGATAAAAATATTTTGGATGTTTTAACATGCAATATTAAAACCTATTTTTACAATTATAAAGATGACACATATATAATTGTGTTTGCTTATAGGGTCTATTATAAAGTCATGAATATTTTATGTCATGAAGTTAAACTTTTGAATCTTAAAGGTCAAACCACTTTAACTGAAACCTACGTGGTTAAAAATAAAATTGAAGTCCTTAAAACCATTATATGGTCAGTAATCCAGTTTTCAGACACCTAACAATTGGAGTCTGTGATTCCTAAAAAATCAGAAATAAATGAAGAAATAACTCAGATTACCCAATCATTTTAGGGTGATGTTTCCATAAAATTTGCTAGAATAAATTCTAAAAATTATTTAAACTCTTCTGATAAATCAAAATTTTCATTAGGTTATTTTGCACCTTTAACAAAATCTACTTGCTCGGTTCAAAATCGAAGAAGAGATAAATATCTTATAATTGAAAGAATTAAAATTTTAAGAAATAATATTTCACATGGTATATATAGACCAACAAATGAATCTTTTCAAGAAGAAGATTATAATCCAACCTCATTCAAAATCTGATTCCAACTATAGTTTCTATAGATTTATACCCACGAGAATTAAAGTTGATAAAGGAAATCAGTAATAAAGAATTTTATCTTCCTAAATATGAACAATTTAGAAATTGGTATTTTAAAACTATGAGTTCTGAAATTCTTCAAAATTATAAAGAAATATTTTACCTTTATATATAAAAAAAAAGAAGGATAATTCCTTTTGTTAATTGGTTTTTAACTTATTTAGTTCCCTCTGATAATAAGCAGTTAAATGAAATTAAAAATTGCTTTCCAAATATAGAAGAAGCCGAGTTTATAAATGAATTCAAGAGAAAATTAAATAATCTTTCTTAAACAGAAACAATAGGAGATAAACAGATTAATACAATAATTGATGAACCTATAGATGATAAAGTTTTAGCTATTTCAAATAATGGCTCTCTGACAGATAATTCAAATCAACTTTTCCATAAAAAGGAATCACGAAAGCAACTCTACCAACTCCGCCAAAGTCTTCAAAGAAAAAGACCAAAAATCTATTAAATATTTTAAGTGTGAAAAACTTGGTTATGTTGCTTCCAGATGCTATTATTATATTTTCAAAAGGGCCATGAATAGATTAAGTATAAATACTTTGACTAATTTTCAAATATTTATTCTTGATCTTATAGATAAAATTTAAGATCCAGTTTATAAATGAAAATCTATTAAACAATATTTAAAGATAAATTCAGAAGAAAAGAGACCTAATTTATCTTAATCATAATCTTTAATAAAAGTCATTAATAGAATCGAAAGTGACATGTTTGAAAATCCATTCCAAATAAAGGAAGATTTATCCACTACGGTTCAAGACTTAAAGAAAAAAGTTCATAATGTCAAAGAAGACATAAAAATCATAAATGCTAGACTCTTAGTTTTAGAAAAAATGCCACTTAAAGAAGGTGACATTAATGATGACAAAGCATCACCATCTAACTCTCCCAATAATAAATACTTAAATGTATTGAAAAAAATAACTTATTAAAAATGATATGTTAAAATTATATTAGTTATAAATTTTGAATTTACTATCGAAATTGTTGTTTAATTGATAGTGGAGCAGATTTGAACTGCATAAAAGAAGGATTAATTCCGACTAAATATTTTGAGAAAATTACTCAGTCAGTAAGTACAACTAATGGTTCAAAATTTTTGAATTCTTTGTTCCCTAGATTTGGGCATGTTTGGAAACTGAATTTCTGACTTATATATATATATATATAATAACATTAAAAATAAAATAGTAACATTAAATACAAAAAAAAACTATCATTTGGATACAAAAAATAATACATTTAAACAAAAAAAAATAGTAATATTTAAACATAAAAAAATTGAAATATTCAATATTAATATTTTTAAAAAATAACAATAGTAACATATTCAATAAAAATATTAACATGTTCAACAAAAATAGTAACATATTTAACAAAAACTATAACATATTTAACAATAATTATTTCTCTCAAATTCAAACCCAAAAAATAGTACTATTCAAACACAAAAAATAATAATATTCAAAAACAAAAAAAAATAGTAACATTGAATATTAATATTTAGGAAAATAATAGTAGTAACATGCTAAACAAAAACAGTAAGATGCTCAAAATAATAGTAACATGAACAGTAATATACTCAACAAAAGCAGTAACATGAACAATGACATAATAAAAAAATAATAACATGAAACATTCAATTTAACAAATTAACCCCCACGAAAAATATCACAAATTACAAAAAACTAAAAATTAACAAGGACAAGAGATTCTCATTCGTTACCCACAAAATTGATATAATTCATAGAAAATTAAAAGATGAACATTGATGAAACAACGCCACTAGCTGGCCGAAGAGAGAGAGAGAGAACTTTGGATTTAAATTTTAAATTTATGATGAAAATTTTATTGACATATTTTAATTGATATTGAATTTAGAGATAACTATATCCAAAATAAGAAATTAATTTAACCTCATTTAAAGGAAATGTATTTTTGAAATAAAAACAAAAATGGACTTAAGTCATTACATATAATTTTAAATATGGACTTAACCTCTTATAAGTTTCTTTACAGAATTTATCTCCAAACAAGTACATCTACGAGGACTTAGTTCTAATTTTCACTATAAATTATGAGTTAGTCCATTACTAAGCATAGCCGGATGGACACCCCCCCTCCCCCTCCCCAAGGGCCCATTACATCTGACTTGTTTGGCAAGCCTTGGGCCTAGGTATTTTGGATGGACCCAACCAGACCTGCCCGTTGCTGACCTTCTATAATCACACGGCTACTTATGGCTTAATTTGCTTGGCTTTCAGTTTTGGCTTACGTGGTTTTAGGGTAAGTAAATATATCGTTGATTTTTACAAATTGTTAGATTATTTTAATAAAAGAAGCACTCTTTATGGGGAAGCTTTATTCCACCATTAGTTTTTAAGATAACTTGGGTTTATATATTATACTAGTGTTACCTTGTAAGATAACTTGGGTTTATATATTATACTAGTGTTACCTTGTAATTTGGTCACGTAGTTTCCTGGACAATATAATAAAATGTTGTGTGAAATTTCTGTTTTATTCGATTGTACAGATTTGAGTGAAACAATAGTCAATGTGGTTGGACAATATAAAAAGATGTGGTGTAAAACTTCTGTTTCATTTGATTGTGCAAATCTGAGTGAAACAACAGTCAATTAGACTGAATTGTTGGAGGCGACACACTGCTACTTTCTACATTATGTTTCTTTTATAAAGAGACGCAAATCGTCTTATGGGAGCAATCTAGTCTGCATCTCACCCTACTGTTCACTTTATTTCCGCATTCATATTTCCAACACAAAATATACAAAGACGGTTGCCAAATGTTTGCCATTAGCTACCAAAGGAAACAAAAGCACAGTACCTAATCTAAGAGAAGTATCGGAACAGATCAGAATTTTTAGCAGTTGAGTCAGAATTTTTGCCTAAGAAAAATTATAAGAAATTTATCCAGGATGCATTTTCTTTGCCAGAAGCTGATTAATTTGAAAATTACAGATATCATACCATAGTTTATGGTTAGTACCTTGAGAAGGAAATGAATATAAACATGTAACATAGGGGACAAAATGACCCAGGCATATTTATGCATAAAAAATCATCTTATTCAAGTGTATTTTGTACTTTTAGAGAATCAACAAGAAGGTTTCTTCAGTCTTGCAAGGTAACTGAGAAAAAAGACACTGTGAAAGGTTAGGATTAAGAATAAAAGTCCCCAATTTTACAGCTTTGAATAAATCTAGAAGAATGACAGTTTTCAATGAAGTAAGATCATAATCATGTCTACAACGCAACAATAACCAATAATTTGCAATTATCATAACTTTCAATATCAACAAATTGGATCATAGTCAGTTCACAGGTCAATCGAAGAGGATTACCGTGAAGGAAGAGAGATTGAAATGCTATTATGGTGGCAATCTTCCACACAAATAGAGAGAAAGCTTCTCTCTCTGAACATAAGCAGAGTGGTCGATCGAATTACTAACTTGTTGCCGATAATCTGAGTCGTGATGATGAGAGAAGGGCATGGGCATCTCATCTTGCACCTCATCCTCTAAATCAATGACAATGTTGTGGAGCAGGCAGCAAACAAGGATAATTCTTGGTAATCTGTTCTTGTCAGGCCTCCACATTACTCCCTGAATAATCTTCCATGTCTCCTTCAACCTTGCCAATGCCCTTTGTGCTACCATTCGCGATGCAAAATGCCGTCTATTGAAGTTGGCTTCAAAATCAGGAAGACCCCGTCCTCTGTAAGGAGTAAGAAGCCAAGGTAACAGGGGAAATGCTACATCCCCAACAATATATTCCCTTAACTCTGTATTTTTAGAAAGCTTCATGTTCTTCCCATTTAGCCTCTTACCTTCTTCAGAAAGCCTGTAGAAACTAGAGCTTTTGAGCACCATGGAGTCACCCAAACTTCCAGGCCACCCAGTGACAATATCACGGAATCTCATCTCTGGGTCCACGATTGCCTGCAGAATCATACTGTGATTCTGCTCCTTGTCGCACCAGATGTTATTTGATTGGTCAATTGAGATCATGATATGTGTGGTGTCAATGGCACCACAGCAATTTGGGAGGCCTCGAATTTTCTCAAACCTGGTCTTTATCTCTTTCATGTCTTCTTCGGTAGAAGGCCAACGGAGATGGTGAAGCCCTCTTTCTTCCATGGCTTCCACAAACCGCCACGTAATTTGGGAAACAGTTGACTGGTTTATCCCAAATGAATCGCCCACGGCTGATAATGATTCACCAGAGCTTAGCCTTCTTAAAGCAATGGCTACTCGATCATTAAGAGACAAAAGCTTGCCACTAAGATTGGTGAAGTTTGCAGGCTTTGCCATCATCTCTTCCTTGACAAGAGAACAGATGTAGTTAAATGTCCTCCTTGAAATCTTGAAAACAGATTCAAATTTAGCTGAATCCTTTGATTGGAATAAAGGCCCTAAGCAGCAAGAAGATGGAATTTTAGAATCGTTAGAGGAAGTATTTGAAAAAAAAAATAATGCACTACGATCCACCTTCTACAATCATGACAGCATAATCACAAGTAGTATACGTTTCACATAATAGACAAAATCTCCTGTGAAACAATAAGGTGGAAATCCAGACTACATCATGACATATGAACAACACATATAATAACGAAGGGAACAGTAAACCATAGTATAAATTACCGACAGAATTTCCATATCTAGGTAGTTAGGTTATGGCTGGCTACTCACTGTTCATCTCTTTTGCATCAGTCAACCCTTCATAAGGAGGAAAAATATGGAACAATTTGCATAAAAACATATTAGCTCTGGTCTACAGAAACCCATATGAAGCTGTGACATATGTTTTGTCTAGAAAATGAGTCAAGGCTCCACCATATAAATACAGTACATTACACTAAAGTTTGTTTTTATGTAGTTGTATTACAAACTCCATGCCTAATGATGTGAAATCCATCTGATATTTGGCATCCGCAATATGCATGAAATAGGTTTTTAATCTAACATGGGGCTTGGAAAAATGCAAAACCACAAGTTATGGAGAGCATAAACATAACGGATTTACTCCAGGTGTAATTAATACATAGTTTAGACTTTAGACCCATATGTACACGCAAGCAAAATTTCATGTCCCGAATTTGACATGTTTGGGTGGGGATCCTATTGAGTATTTTTGCATGATATTATGTCAATGTTTCATAGACACCAACATCCTATTCAGCTATCTTTTGTTTGTAGTATTTCCTATGAAGTCCTAATTTCATTAGAATGCATCAACCACATCATATAGGCACATGTCCGCCTTAAGTAACAAATCCTAATTTACTACTTCCCCCCAAAAAAGAAGTCGCTGCTCGTGAACACTGATTTCATGGCCCTTAAATCCAGAATGCCCTTTCACATTTACAATTCCATTTGTTATTCTTGCTACATCACAAATCCACAAGGTACTCCAAAAATATTATGCAAGCAAACCTTATCGTATAGGTGGATAATTTGTTCACTCAGCTAGAAGATATGGGGTAAAACATTGTCACCTGCAGTGAATTCATATCTTTTTGTTTCTTAGCAAGGTTATAGTGAAACTACAAGAAGGTAGTCTGTTCATATCTCATATTCAATGCAAAGGCTACAAACTGAAAACAGACTACATAACTCTTCACACTTAAATTATAAGATTTAACACATGGTTTTCATCTAAGTTTGAACTATTCAAAAGCAGAAATGTATGTCGTTGACAAATGTAGGCACCTATTTTCTAGTGAATGTACAGATGATCAAAATCCGACAACCTAATATATAACTTCATAATGACTTCTGGACAGAAATAATTCCATCTGTTAGCCATAAACTGATGTTCTAAACCAAAATACCCTAATTCAGAAATTCGATTAAAAATTACTGAAGACTTAAATCGATTTTCCCACAATTTTCAGGCAAATGGTTCAGTTAAGCAATGACCAACATCGTACGTAGAACTTCAAGAAAAACCTTTTGACCCAATAAAAACTATATGCTGAACTTCAAAAAAGAACTATATACTATACACACAGACCTACAACAATATATATGTGTAACATACGCCAAGATCACTCAAATAGGAGGTATACAACTGAATTTGACCCATATCAAAAAATTTCACTATATTCGGAGGAAACCTTACAAATATCCACAAGCACCATTCCAAGCTTACCCAGTTAGAGCTTTGTTCTTTTTGGACAGTAAGAGCCAATTATATTCTAACAAAATCACCAAACAATCTCAAAAACAAAAAATCATGAGGTATATATATATATATATATACCAGTGATCCTCTTGGAGAACTCGTCCCACCAGTCAAGGGATGGCTGAAGCTGGGACGGCACAGAACTGTAATGTACAAGTGGGTCAACCTCTTTCTCTGCCTTCTTCCTCCTCTTGAGCCCTCTAATGGGCACCATTGAAACCCAAAAAGACAGTTGATTTTCAGAGCTTGGAAGACCCACCAATCTTAGCCAAAGAGAACCGGAATGGAAGAACGAGTCTGAGCTTAAGTTCGAGCGACCCCTAAAAAGTTAGTTTTTTAATCGAGATTAAATAATTGTTTAAGTTCGTCCCGTTTAAGGAACCAGCCAAACTTGGACGAGCTAAAATAATTGTTCAAGTTCATCTCGTTTAAAGAACGAGCCAAACTTGAACGAGCTAAAAATAAATCAAGTCCAAGTATTTACATATAAATAAGTTAAACTTGTTGAATTTGAACTGAATTTATAGAACTTATTTTTTAAATAAGTGTAAAAATTTATTCAAATTCAAATTTATTTAAAAAACGTACTGATTCAGCCAAACTCAAACTAAATTCAAATAATTTAATTTAATTAACGGCCCAGTTAAACAAAAGATGGTACACAAATTAGTCCCTGGCCAAATAGAATAGAGTTTATCTGACACATTTGATTTACAGAACATTATTCACAAAGATGACACATACAAACCCGAGAAATAAAGATTGTATCATAACCTTAAATTTAGAAAACGCATTCTCAAAAAAAATTTCCTTTAGCCAAAAAATAAAAAAATTATATTCACAACTAAGTTTTTATAACTATTTGTTGGTTACTCTAATCCTACAAATTTTTTTGCCCAAACTCAACTCTAAGTAATCAAAATGTATTGAAGTGTTGGTTATTTTCCGGTTGGGTTCAAGTTGACCACCCAAATTCATCTCTACTCTACCCAAAAGTCTTGGGCCAATTCAACAAACCAAGTACATAGATTCACCAAAGCTTTCACCTGCATGCTCTGAAGTAGAAACAGGATCCAGCTCCAGCAAAACGAAAACCAAGTACATAGACCATTGAAGACACCATAGACAATGTTGAGTTTTCTCCCTTACCACATAATGAGATCCTCAGATCATGGTTTTGCGAGCGAGAGCTTCGGTGTAAAATTGATTAGTCAGTTGCCAGAACTCGAACCGAGCTCAAATATATACCAAACACTGATCCCTCAGAAGGTTGGCAAAGATCTAGAGTTAGAAACCTAGACAAGCTTGTAAAAATGTTTAAGCAAGAAAAAAGAAAATTTGGTCAAAAAGCAGTGTGTAGTTTTCCAACGCCAACATAACCTGTCCTACCACAATTTAACCGAACCTTTCTGACTGGAAGCTTCTCTGAGAATTATGGAACCAAAAACACAATGAACTATACTAGAGATTTCAGAAGAGATAAATAAATGCCCATTTGCAAAATCAAGTTGTCGCTCGAGAAAANGGGATGGCTGAAGCTGGGACGGCACAGAACTGTAATGTACAAGTGGGTCAACCTCTTTCTCTGCCTTCTTCCTCCTCTTGAGCCCTCTAATGGGCACCATTGAAACCCAAAAAGACAGTTGATTTTCAGAGCTTGGAAGACCCACCAATCTTAGCCAAAGAGAACCGGAATGGAAGAACGAGTCTGAGCTTAAGTTCGAGCGACCCCTAAAAAGTTAGTTTTTTAATCGAGATTAAATAATTGTTTAAGTTCGTCCCGTTTAAGGAACCAGCCAAACTTGGACGAGCTAAAATAATTGTTCAAGTTCATCTCGTTTAAAGAACGAGCCAAACTTGAACGAGCTAAAAATAAATCAAGTCCAAGTATTTACATATAAATAAGTTAAACTTGTTGAATTTGAACTGAATTTATAGAACTTATTTTTTAAATAAGTGTAAAAATTTATTCAAATTCAAATTTATTTAAAAAACGTACTGATTCAGCCAAACTCAAACTAAATTCAAATAATTTAATTTAATTAACGGCCCAGTTAAACAAAAGATGGTACACAAATTAGTCCCTGGCCAAATAGAATAGAGTTTATCTGACACATTTGATTTACAGAACATTATTCACAAAGATGACACATACAAACCCGAGAAATAAAGATTGTATCATAACCTTAAATTTAGAAAACGCATTCTCAAAAAAAATTTCCTTTAGCCAAAAAATAAAAAAATTATATTCACAACTAAGTTTTTATAACTATTTGTTGGTTACTCTAATCCTACAAATTTTTTTGCCCAAACTCAACTCTAAGTAATCAAAATGTATTGAAGTGTTGGTTATTTTCCGGTTGGGTTCAAGTTGACCACCCAAATTCATCTCTACTCTACCCAAAAGTCTTGGGCCAATTCAACAAACCAAGTACATAGATTCACCAAAGCTTTCACCTGCATGCTCTGAAGTAGAAACAGGATCCAGCTCCAGCAAAACGAAAACCAAGTACATAGACCATTGAAGACACCATAGACAATGTTGAGTTTTCTCCCTTACCACATAATGAGATCCTCAGATCATGGTTTTGCGAGCGAGAGCTTCGGTGTAAAATTGATTAGTCAGTTGCCAGAACTCGAACCGAGCTCAAATATATACCAAACACTGATCCCTCAGAAGGTTGGCAAAGATCTAGAGTTAGAAACCTAGACAAGCTTGTAAAAATGTTTAAGCAAGAAAAAAGAAAATTTGGTCAAAAAGCAGTGTGTAGTTTTCCAACGCCAACATAACCTGTCCTACCACAATTTAACCGAACCTTTCTGACTGGAAGCTTCTCTGAGAATTATGGAACCAAAAACACAATGAACTATACTAGAGATTTCAGAAGAGATAAATAAATGCCCATTTGCAAAATCAAGTTGTCGCTCGAGAAAATGAGAGCATAACAGCTCCAGCATATGGCAGTGTGCCTGTTCCAATTCCTTGAGCAATCTATTCGAAAAAAGAATAATTGTTTCACCTTTTATATATCTAAACCACGGACTTTTTTCATGACTAACTTGTGGCAGAGTTCACCAGATCAGCAGCTTGTTTCTTTGGACAAGAGGATGCAAGATGACCCTTTTCACCACATTCATAGCATGTCCTCCTCCTTATTTTCCCACTGACTGAACTTGTTTCGACAGCCTCAATTTCTTTACTTGCTTGCATAGATTTTGAATTGGTGTCTGCTCCTTTCTTTGGAACTGCACATCTTATTCTCACAGGTCTCGCACAAACAATCTTTTGATCCAACTTCAGTGCCCTTGTTAGAGAAAGATTATCAGAAAAATCCACATGGGCATAACCTTTGAATTCCTTTGTTTCCTTGTCTTCACCAAATCGAACTGAAGATATACTAAAATCCGAGAAAAGTTTCCTCAGGTCTTCCTCAGTTATATCCCATGACAAATTTCCAACATATATCCTATTGTAGCCTTCCACAATTGCCGGGTTGAAATCAGATACCTTGCTAGTTCTAGTTGACTTGTAGGGCTGGATTTTCAGGAACAGTCCACCCCTGAAACAGGTTAAAACTTTTATAAGCATGACAGAATGACAATGAGTATGTAGAGTGATATTTCTTGCCCTTACATGTCAGCTCCATCAAAGGCCAAAGCTCTTTTAGCTGCTGCTTCAGTCTGCAAAAGGAATATATGACAAATCACTCCTAAAACGAGAATTCTCTCTCCGTCAGACGCTTAACTCAAAAAAACGTCAACACTTAACATCTTATTTCGGGTGGGTATTGGATGCTGGGATGGAATTGAAAATGATATAAACAAGTTAAGCTAAAGACATAACTGTCAATTTTGAAACAAAGATCTTGCATGCCTTCCCTTAAAATGATAACAATAAAGTTCAATTTCATCCAACGTCTTACAGAATACCAAGCCATTTTATATGGTAATCATCCTTATAACACATACGAAAATATCGAATAAAGTAATTGAGTTCAATTTCAAGTAAGACTGGAATTCAATCTAAAAATACTTCAGAATCCTGCATCACCCATCCATAGTTGACTGGCCAATTACAGAATCTCAAAAAATTACTGGCAGCAACAATGAACTAGAAAGGTACCCATCATGTGCAGTATATTTTCACACCTCTCACTCTGGCTCAGTACCAAACTACTCGCCAATTAGGCTAACTAAGTAATCCAAGTTTGCCTTGTCACAACTCTAAAATTTATCAAGCTTAGTGGGTCAACGGTATATCATTTTCAGTGAAAAACAAAATAATAGTTTAGGTTAAAGCTTTGAAAATAAATAATTTTCAACTTTTCTGTTATGTTATGCACTATTGCAATTTAAATGAGTACAAGTTGAAAAAACAAATATCCAATGCGACCTAACTCCCGGTTCTGTTTCTGAAGAAATGGAACCTGTGAGATGTTATTCCAAAGCCTGGGTTAGGGTTTCGGCGTGAGACTGAACACCACCCACGTATAATTGGATTGGACCAGTAGCATATAGGAAATGGTGAATCCAGGGAACAAACCACCACCCTCCTCTACAGTCCCAATCAAAGCCATAGATACCATACCACCTTCTCAAGATATTGTTTTCCAAGGATCTGTTTACAGCTTGAGTCATTTAATCCATATTCAGATCAGACATATAGTGTAAAAGCAGATCATCTCACTTGATTTAATGCCATGTTCGTTAGATTGCAGTCCATGTTTTCCCTCAATCACAACATACCAACTTATGGAATTATAAAAGTTGGTTAGACAAATATACTTCAACCAAGACCAACAGCTAATAAACACTGATCTGCTTAATCTTCAAAAGTTGGTACTGGTCCAATCCAATTATACGAGGGTGGTGTTGTGAAGAAGATAAAGCAATAGAAGTGGCAAGCATCATGTATAGACACAAGCATATAATTAAATGCAAAAGTAACATCAAAGACCAGCCTTGAAATTGATGATGGCAATCCCTCTGAACTTCCCACTCTCAGGGAAGTACATACAATCAACTTCAGTAATTGTCCCACAACTTTCAAAGTAACTTCGAATATCATCCTCAGTTGAATAGTATGGAATGCCTCCGACATAAACTTTTGTTGAAACGTCCACATTCTCCTGACTGTAATGACAACAATACACAAAACATGGAGGATAAATACTATAGAGAAAAAAGACGTCTGTAATGTAATCCGAAGTACAACATACCACATTAAAACCTGAAATAACATTGCCGAGAGATTCAAGAAACGGAAAAGAAATTTGTTTTACACAGAGCACTGTCTCTCTCAATAAGTGGTTTTCAGCATGTTTTATAATGATGAGAAACTTTAATCAACTATGTTAACTAGCTGTGTTAGGCTCAGATGGTCAAATGGATAGAGCTTTTTGATTCTATAGGTCCATGATTATAAGAACCCAAAAAGCCACATTCATTTCAATTTGAATTCCTCCAACACACTTCCAATCAATTTCCACCCACAAACTAGACCCAGAGAAGGTTAAAAGAAACAGAACTGAATTAGCCCAACCAAAAACAAGTTCTAAAAAAAAAAAAAAACTTAAGTAATCGAATTAGAAGGTGTATATGTCAATCCTAAACTTCAAAAACATACCTATCACTGCTCTTAACCGTCTCTTCCCCAACAATTTCTCCACTTCCACCATTAGCACTCTCCACAGCTTTCTTCGTTTCCTCATCTACCGCCTTCTTCTTTCCCTTCTTTTTCTTTTTCTTTTTCTTTTTCTTCTTCGCCTTTTGGGCCTTCACCTCTGCATTCTCTGGATCACCACTATCCAAATCCTCATCTCTCTTCCTCTTCTTCTTCTTCTTCTTCTGCTCATTCACACCCTCTGACCCACCTTCCTCCTCTTTCTTTGTATTACTTCTACTCACCACCTCTGCGCCTTCTGGCAAAGAAGATGATTTTTCTCTACGCTTCTCTCTCTTGGACAATCTGGGTTTCTGGGTTGCTGAATCTAGAAGAGACTTGAGTGATTGTTGGGTCTCTGAATTTGGGTATTCTGTGTTTGGGTGCTTGGTATTCTTGGAGTTGTTTTGTGACTCTGATTCTGCTAATTGTTCTGCTTTAGCGGTTCTCAGCTTTTGCTTTAGCTTCTTGTTCGAAAGAACCATTTTTCTTTGATTCCTTGCAACAGCTATAAGCTCTGTAAGCAGAGGAATTTTGGGAGGAGAAACCCAAAAACGGCAAAACCAGTATCTGGGAGTTTATGCGGGGTTGTGAAGAAGAAAGTGGAAACCACAAGGCGGTCCCTTTCCACGACGTCGTCGTATAGATTTTTTTTTTTTTTTTTTAAGACGTCAAAATATTAAGTATAAGAATAAATAAGAGTAATTTACAGTTTCTACTCTTAAAGTATGCAAATAATTTTTATTTGATATCTGAAGTTTCAATAGATACAATTATATCCTTAAATTTTTAATCAAGTTTCAATTGAGTACTTTCATCTAGATCTATTAATTTGTTCGAATAGAAAAATGTCATAGAATTTGTCCATAAGAGTATATTTTTTCAACAAAAAATATCCCTCTCAAATAGAAAAATGTCATAGAATTTGTCCATAAGAGTATATTTTTTCAACAAAAAATATCCCTCTCAAATATATTGATATTTATCTCTTTATCTTACAATATCTCTCAAATTCTCCCTCTATATCTATTTTAAAATAAAACTAAAATAATTTTTTTTAATATATATATATATATATATATATATATATATATATATATATATATACCTTTTTACCTAAGGCATATCTTTGCTGCTAAATACAATTCTATCATAATAAATAAGTGAATTTTAATGTAAAGATTAAATTGAAACTCTAAAAACTTGATTGTTGCAATTAGAATTTTCAACAATAAATAGAAAGTAATTGCATACTTTTAAGTGTGAAAATGATAATTTACTACCAAACTCAAAAGGATGATGGCCCTTTTGTGTCTTTGCTACCACAATCCACAAGTCCTTTGTTGGATAGATGACTTGTTCATCTCTTAGTTACCCCATTTTTTTTTTAATGTAATTGGAAAAACTAAAATAAAATTAGAATTTAAGTACCGATTAGGTCATCTTTACACCTTATTCAAATCTAAAATTGAGTCAAAATAGACTAAAAACAAACTTCAATCTCAAACCTATACTAAATGAAATGAGGCTTAAAGTTTTTCTCAAATTAAGGTAGAGTCAAATTTTTACTCAAATTTTCCACGGTCAAAATTTACTCTATTAAAAAATCCAATAATTATATTTTACCTTCCTTTAAATTTAAGTTTGCCTTTTTAAAATTTGAATTTATCCATTGTACTGCCTTGTATCAAATTAAAATTTTTACTCATATTTAAATTTGGGTTTGAGTCAACAGAGATGTCCTTAGTAATTTTTTGACGTAATTAGAATTACTTCACGGTAATTAAAAATTTTTATGTTATCAAATTGTCCTTTTGTTGGATTGATTTGTAATTTTTTTAAGTAATTAGAATTAGAAGATATATAAATGTTAAATCAAACATACATACATAAAGCCTCCGTGTGCGCGCGCGCACACACAATACAGAATCATGCCCAACAAGTGAGGGAAATTGGTGTGCGAAGAGAAAGAAGAAAAAATATTCATTACAATCGGAATATCACGTGGCATCGATTGATGTTGTATTACCAAGTAATAATATCAAAACAAATAAATAAATAGATCTCGTAAGAATTAATAATTAACCTCCATGTGAGTAAAGAACAACACCCTCTTCCTCTATGTAATTCAATAACTATTCAAGTAGAGTTTATCTTGCTCACTAGGTATTTTATTATTGGTTGATAGTACGTCAGCATTCTTGATATGGTATCACTTTTATATTGAATCTTTTCTAGAGAGAGATAGAGAGAAAACTGAATAAATGTAGATCAAACTTACAACTTAATGACTTATGTTGCTTTTTTTTTTTCTTTCTATCTCATATTATGAAAAAGAGCGAATACAAAAACGATGAATGATCCGTACTAACTAGTTCAATATTAATGTTGGAATTTGTAAGGTTTAGAACAAAGTAAAAGTGAAAGTGAGCTATATTATCTATGAGATGTTGGATTGAAATTTCACTTATTTGATGATAATAAAAGTGATTTTTTTTATACTATTGTAAATACAGTTCATATACCACAAATGTATCAATTAATAGTTTAATAATATTAGTTATTTCTTGTACCTGAAGACACGGAGTAATAAAAAATGATCAACAATAAATATATTTGTATGCATACTTAAAATCAAGGGTTAATTGCATTGGACGTTCCTAAAGTATGAAGTTTGTCTCATTTTAATCTCCAACATTTCAATTGCATCATTTTTGTCCATAAAGTATTGAATATGCTTCTATATAGTCTCTTAAGCAGACAGTGTCCAAATTACTAATATTTTTTTATCACAAACTTACCACATGATACTTAAATGTGGACAAAAAAATAATTTGAATAACTCTTGACTAAATTTTTATTCAAATTTTGGTTAAATACCTACTTAAATTACACAATTTTGATCATGAGTTATCTAAATTTTGTTTAAAAGTTACACATATTACACATTTTTTTATCAAGAGCTACCCAAATTTTGTTTAAGAGATATCAAAATTATTTTTTGTCCATATTTAGCTATTACGTGACAAGTTTATGATAAAAATCGTTAGCAATCTGGACGTTGTTTGCTTAAAAGACCATATAAAAACATATTCAATACTTCAGGGACTAAAATGATGCAATTGAAACATTGGGGGACCAAAATGAAACAAACCTCATACTTTAGGGACTTCTAGTGCAATTAATCCTAAAATCAAATTACAAACATATAGGAGAGAGAAAGGATTTTTGAGCACCCATTATCGTGGGGGTGAACGGTGGTAATAGTGGTAGGCGTCAGTGGTGGTGGAGGGAGAAGGTGATGGTTGTGGTGGGTGGCGACAGGCAACAGTGATGGTGGTGGTGGGTTTTCGGTGACAATGGTGACAGTGGCAGTTATGGGCGACGACGGTTGTGATGGTGGCCAATGATAATGATGGTTGACAGTGGTGGTGGTGGGGTAATGACGGTGGTAAGCGGTGACGATGGTGGTGGTGGGTAATGATGGGTACTTCTGGGCAACAGTGTAATGGGTGGTGACAAATGACGGTTGTGATGGTGGGGGACGGTGACAGTGGCTGGCGACAATGTTGGGTGACGACGAGGTGGTGGTGGGTTATGATAGTGATGAGTTATGGTAGTAGTGGGTGCTAACGGTGGGCAACAGTGGTAGTGAGATGATGGTAGTAGTGGTAATAAATATAAGAAGGAGATGATAATGATGATAGGTAGTAGCGGTGTACGACGGTGGTAGCAATCGGTAGCGGGACAGTAGTGGTAGTGGGGATAGAGGTGGTGGGGGCGACAGTGGTGATGGGGTGACAGTGGTGGTGACGATGGTGATGGTGGTTGTTGTGGCAGAGGTGATGTGGTGGTGGAACAGTAAGGGTGGTAATGGTGGGATGATGGTGGTGGTGAGAACGGTGGGGGGGTGGTGTTAGTAATGGTGTGGCGGTGATTGTAGGGTGGCGATAGTGATGGTGATGACAACGATAGTTATGGTGGGGCGATGGTAGTGATTGTTGTGGTAGAAGGGGTGGTAGTAGAGGTAGTAGTGATAGTGATGAAACGATTTCAAATACTATTATTTTTAAAATATTTAAAAAAATTATAAATCATAGACGTACTTTTAAAAAGTTGCCCCAAACACACCTTTAAGGGTCTATTTTCTCTATTAAATTTGGAAGTGTTAATATTAGCCGTCGGATTAACTTTAAAATAAAATTTAAAGAAATCTCAACCACGAAAAGAAAAAATTATTTTGTTTATCTTTTGAAATTTGAATTGTATTATATTTTATTATATAAATAATTAACTATAGAAAAATAAGATAAACATTAGTTATTTTGGTTAAACAATTTTTTTTTAACTTTCGTTAATGGAATATATAGATAGATTAAAGGCTTTATGCAATTGACCTTATTGTTCATATTTACGAATTTTGATTCCATCATATTAATTTGAAAGTGAAAGTGCTTGTAACTCACCTTCAATTAATGTTTATTTAATTTTATTTTTTGTGATAATGTATCTCTATTTTTATTCGACTATTGATTATAATATTTATGATATTTCAATTGATTTTCAATACTCTATTTAGTTCTTGACTTTTAGTTCCACTGACTTTGCTCCTTCCCTTAAAAAAAGAATGTTTCGAGGATGGTTTAGTAATATTTCAAATATAAGGAGTGCGAATGTAATTTACCCGCACACATAGTTATCTGTAACTGAATTTGCGGGAGTTGCATCAAGCTTTTGGATTTTGGAGGATTTGTAGCGAGAAATCAAGATCAAACAGAATCTACAATGTAGGGTTTGGTTGATTGAAATATAGGGTTTTGTAGGGTTGACGAATTACGAGTGACAGTGGTTTGTTGAGAGAGAATTGGAGGCGCATAGTGAAGAGTACAAGGTTTAAGAGATTTCTTGACAGGTTTGATCAGCTTGGAGGTCTCTTCAATGGAGAATCCGGGTGTGGTTTTTCTGATGAAAACGACATCGATTCAGTTGGGCTTCTCGTCTTCTTCTTTGAGCTTCTAACACGAAGACCTCTGTTTTTGCTCTGCTACTTTATTTTTGCATCACCCCTCTCTCTCTCTCTCTCTCTCTCTCTCTCTCTCTCTCTCTATCTAAACTCTCTCTGCCCCTCTCTAAAATTTTCTGCAATCAAGGGTTTCAATTGGTGGTAGAGATTACTTCTACTCCTGTATTGTGTTTCAGCGGGTAATTGTTGTTACTTTTACTCCTTTATTGTGTTCATCATTTTATCTCATTCTTTTTGTTTGATTTTTTTTTTAATTCTGCACATATACTTTAAAAACTTTGATTTCTACTCTATTTTATGTTCTACCTGTTGGTGTCTGGGAGATTGGTTTTGCTCATTACTAGATTTTACCTTGAATCCTGCACCCTCCTCCTCGGATTCACAAGCCTGACCGAACATAACCATGCCTCTGCTCGCGTTACCCAAAAAAAAAAAAAAGATTTTGCCTTGAAGAATCTCTCTTTTTCTCACCAAAGAATTTCGAAAAATGAAAGTACAAAATTAGAAAATTAGTAATTCGTAGACTTTAGCTCCTTTCATCTGTCAATCAATTTGATAAACTGTTCAAATGTCCTTTTTTGGAAGGTGAATGGTTTCAATATCAGCACATGGTAAACAATGTTTCATATTAAAATTTCTGCGTTCAGCACTTAAAATACAATATTCGGTCATCAATGCTTAATTTTTGTTTTGTTAAATAATACCTTGGTAAGTTGATATCTCTCTTAAATTTGCACTTACATAAGACTGCCACTTGATCTAGCTCTCCTTCCACACACACATTCCTTCACACACAAATCAATTCCCAAATGTGATACATACATTAAGCGTCCAACCAAAAACCATTGGTAACCATCCACAGGTTTCTGCAGTCATTGACATTGATATTGTAAAAATATAGATTATATCCAAAATTTTTGTTGCCATTTTTTGTTGTCTAAGGCAAATTCTGATAAAAAAAAAATGATCTGAAAGCTCTTCAAATATTTCTTAATTTGTCTTCATGACAAAAGTCAATCTATATCTAATCCATTACAAACTATATGAGCAGCTAGTACTGGTGGGCGTGATCCAAGTTCCATCAGCCTCCCTCCATAGGGATTCAACTCAACATGGGCAAGAAGCTCCAAAAGAATAAGAAGAATCATCAATTCCAGAGGTATGATCTGAGCCATGACAGAAGAAGAGACAGCTGCAATTATGAAATCCTAAGCGGTCTAAGGTATAATCTGTTTTCTGCCGTAATTATTTGATATAGTCCTATCACCACCTATGATGACAAGCCCTTTAATTTTCAAAACAGGTTCCATACTGAGGAAGAACATAAAGATGATAGGATTAGCAGTTTACCTGATGACATCCTTTTGCGCTTTCTTTACTTAATCCCTTTCAAAGACGCATTGCAAACTATAGCTCTTTCTACTCGATGGAGAAATTTGTGGAACAGGGCTGCTTTGGTAAGACATGGTGCTATAGAAGATATTGACTGTGTTGTAGGTGACTTGCTCCTTCACTTTGTTGAGCTCAATCCACTAGCGCATCCAGAGAGACTTCGATTTCAATTTGGCCGTGGACGGATCCTCTCAGCTATCATTGGATTAGGAAAAAAACTTCGTCTCGATTTCTCTAAGGGGGAATCAGCAATTCCAAGACAGTTTGATTGGCATTTGGTGTTGAATAGCATAGACCCTACCCACCAACCTCCTTCCCACACCACCTTTGTCAAAAGTCTAAATTTAACATCTGTGAACTATCTTACCAATGAAATTGTTTCTTCTCTGGTTTCAAACTTTCAATCTCTTGAAAGTTTAACAATTGCAAGGTGTGAGGGGTTACAATCTTTACGTGTTGATGTTCTGTCAAAGCTCCTGAATTTGACTATTCTGGACTGTCCTGACCTTAAATCTCTTTATATTGAAGCCTATGAACTTCAATCTCTTCGTTATCGAGGGCCAGTTTGCTGGATTTCACTCCGGGGTGTGGTTGACATAGCAGATGCCATGCTTGATTTCAGATATAGCCCAGGCTACAATCAGTATTATTCGTACAAGCATTCTGATTCACTGATAAAACTCTTAGGAGATGTTGAAACCCTTACACTGAGTGGAGGGATTTTCAAGGTAAGGTCTTGCTATTTGTTCCTTTTTTGATCTGGTTTCTGAAAATCTCTTCTGCTTGAAAACACATCTAAGTAAACCGTGGTTTTAGAATCAACAATACTGTTTGATACAGCATAATAGATCAACCTCATGAACTTCTTGCAGACACTTATGCACCCACTACCATCAAGAAGATTCTATAGACTCAAAGATTTATGGTGGATAGATAGTTCGATGGAAGAATACAATATTGATTCATTGTTCACTTTTATAACAGCATGTCCTTCACTGGAAAGGCTCTTCATAACTGTAAGTTTTCTTAAATATCACTTGCCATTTCTTTAGAGTCCACATGACAATAATAGAGCAGATGGCTAGAACTAAATCTGTGTTGATGGATTTGCGTCTGTCTAGAAACATAAGAGGGGTGAGAGAGATTCAGGTTCAAGTGTTAAATTTCTCTGAGTTGATGCTGAAGCTAGGTTTTTTCTAGGAATATTTTAATTGTTTCAATTTAGCACACAATAAGTTGGATAATTTGCAGTCACAGCTCTTTTTAGACCCGATCTAAAGTCATTCTTGCGATATTCTCTCATGAACGCTCTAATTGTTTTTCTCTAATGGTCTTTACATCCGGCTAACAAAATTTGCAGATTGACCCTACAAGCTACCGCTCACCAAGCTCTTTGTCAAAGTGCTACAATAAAGTTGGTAAGCCAGCAAGATTGCGGCATCTCAAAGTGGTTAAATTGGAAGGATTCACAAAGGATGAGGATGTAATTCTTTTGAAGGAACTTTTGCTTGAGGCATTCAATGTGGAGCCACGAATCATAGTAGCAACAGATGGGAGCTACTCTCGGACTATAATAAAGATTCCAAAGCATCAAAGGAAGAACAATTTGAAAATGGTGGAATCAAAGTCACAAAGGTGGAAGTCCCTTTACAAGTTTGTGGAAGAACTTGAAGACAACATTGGTTTGTATTCAAAACATGCTCATTTTGATTTGTAGATACGATTGTTTTATTCAAAACATGCCTTCTTTTGGAAGAGATTAGCATTTAGCAGTATGTCTTGGTGGTGGTGGTGTGGAGTTATCCACCTTCCACCCATCCCTCTCAATTGTGTAGTGACTCACTATAGAATTAGAACCTATAAGATACAAAATACCCAATTAATTTTTACAAAGCTCACTTGGAGCTAAGTCTTAGAGCTTATTATTGTTAAAACGTTCCATCAATTTCATATGGAATCAACATGGAGTTGTTGATTACGAGTTTAACAACGGCCGAGTCATAATCGGGTTAACCTATGATGCTTCTTTAATAAATAAAGAGACACGGAACTCAATTATGTTGGAATTTAATTAAGTCACTACAGATCGAATAAATTTTGATATAATATAATTATGATACAAACTCATTATAACTCGACCTGTTGCCGATGCTAGGTGTGTCTTGTCAATTCATGGTAGTAGATGGGAAAATAGACATGAAGAACAAGTCAAAATTGAGTGCAATAGGCTTTGGAGTTGGTTGGGGAAGCCCGTGTACAATAAATAGTCCACAAGGCTGTTGACTCCCTAATATGATTGATCACATCTTCTAAGCACATCTTTTCGTTTGTGTACATTTTCAACGAATGACAATCACCTATTATTTTGTCAGAATTTTTGTTATAAAAAGCCCAAACTTTCGTAGAATCTATGGTGGTAGAATTGACTAAAAAAAATTAATAAAAATTAACGACACTTGATTTAAAGGAGTTTATACTATTTAACAAGCAACGGCGGAGCCAAATTGGGCCAAGAGTGGGCACGGGCCCACCCTCAATATATATATATATATATATATACACACACATTAGTTATTGTTCAAACCTGAAGGTACTATGTTATTTATAAAATTTCAACATACAGAGATAAAATGTTTGAATAATTTCAACACATAACGATTAAATTGGTTTTGAACATTTTTTGTTGGTGTAATTGGTATCTTATTTTTTTTGTATTGGTCACTTATTTTTTTTTAATTGCTAATTAACTTGGGTTTTGAATTTTTTTTAATTTTCTGAGAACTTTAGATTTTCATACAGTAGTGATTTATTTTTGGTATGAATAATAACTTGATAATTTTATTTATGGATTATAAAGACAATTTAAACTTCATTAATCGATAAGAAGTAAGAAGTAAACATCAACCATCGGTACTAAGATGCGTGATAAGAAGATCTACTTACAATGTACTCTAGATATGAATCAGTTTGTAATAAGAAGGATGAAAAATTATATAGTAATTATATAATGGTTTTTAATGAAATATTATACCAAAGGTTTTGAAAAAATCAATATAGTAAATAACTCACATATCCAAAAATGGTGACATTGTCCTTTTAGGTACTGATTTTTGTGTTATAGTGACGGTGTGTATGCAGTTATTGAGGTCAAATGCTAAACTGTCAAATTTTGAAAAAGAAACACTAAACTTAGAGATATTATGTATTTTATGTGTGTTTAATAGAAATATTTTTAATTTTATGCAAATTTTTATCATAAAATTAGAAATTAAACAAAATCAATTTAAATCAAGGTACAAACAATACACTTTTAACATATAATATTTAACAACAATCAATTAATGGCAATACATCCACAACTAAACCACACGAATATTAAATGTTAAAAATTAATAAACTATTGTCAAAACATACACCACTAAACCAAACTAAAAATATCATTAATGATAAACAATAATGGGTACCAGCGAGAGTACTTCTGGAGGTTAGATCACTATCAATACAATTTAGATGAAAGAGAGTGGATGGTCGGAGTCGTTAAGTCCAGTGGGTCTCCAGATTATGTCGTATGTCCCTGAAGAAGGTCTGTCCATTGTTGGAGTTTACACAGAGAGATGAGAGACTAAGAAGGATGACAATGATTTCTAAGAAACTACAAGAGGTGAGACGGTTAATGGGGGAAAGTGAAAAAGTTTGGATCGTGTATTAAACAAAATGGGTAGCATGTGGGTATAGTTAAATTGGGTGGGATTCAAGGGTGGAGCCATCCTTGGACCAGGGCGGGCACGTGCCCCCTTCAATTTTTTGACATTAAATATATATTGTTTAAATTAAAATTTAGATATATTTAATTGTGTCCACCATCAATTTTTTTTACAATAAATATATATTTTTTAAAATAAAATTTAGACATATTTAATTGTGTCCACCTTATTATTGTATTATTGTAATATCAATTAAGATAGACGATTACTTAAATAATAATTAATTTTTAAATAATATTATTGGAACTAATATATAATGATATTAAATCTAATAGTGAGTCCCTACATTTAATAACGTCTATTATCCATCCAATAGTCACAAATCGTTGGGTTCCTACCAATTAAAATTTGAATTTTTTTTTTGGTCAAGATATAAAATTAAATTTCAAATTAGATGCAATTATTATTATTCTTAAATTTTTAGACACAGACATGTCCGAATAATTTCTAGACATATCGCGTTCATTTTTCTAAATTATAAGATTATTTTATTATTTTATAGAAATGAGCGTCATAATGTAATAAATTATAGGGTAATAAATGAAAGACTGTTATTACTATTTTGTATATAAAAAAAAAAGTATTTATTGATACATTGATTTATAATTCTTTTAAATGATAAACAATAATCAGATTTAATTGTAAAATGATAATAATTAGTTTCATATGAAGTTTTAATTAATTTTTACGCATAACTATAATAAATATGAATTTATAAACTTCTATGGTCAATTGAAAAAAAAATGAAAAATGATATTTAGATCTAATTTGATGACATAATTCAATGCACCCCTTTGATTGAAAGTAAACTTTATCTAACATTGAAATTTACAACTAAAATACCAGTTATATTGAATTAAGTCATTGGTAACATTGATAAAAAAATAATTAAAATTTATTAATGTGTCCATCCTAAAATATTTTTCTAACTCCGCCCCTGGTGAGATTTTATTTTTGTGTGGGATGTGTTGTAAGTCATTGGATTAAGTTTAATGAATTTAGATGAAATTTAGATCATTTAATTTAAAATAAATTCAATTTGAGTTGTTATTGTATTTTTTCAAATTTAAGATAGAGACGTATGAGAGATAGAAGTGTAGAGTTTTAAAATAAGAGGCTTTTTCATGGGTGAAAAAAGAAATTTAGAATTAACTCTAGACTGTTAGATCAAAATTTTTGAAATAATCGGAACCGTCTTTTTTATTGAGATTACATTGTCCGTTAGATGTGTTTATGTTTTGTCTCAAAACGATCTAGACTTTTTTTTGTCTTTTATATAAATCTATATAATAAAGTAAAACGAAATTTGAATCCAAAAGACAAAAAAAAGTCTAAATCATTTTGAGACAAAACATAAACACATCCAACGGACAATGTAATCCCAACATAAAAGATGGTTCAGATCAATTCAATTTTATTGATCCGACGATCCTAATCAATCTACATTCCAACAATACTCAACTACATTCCTTTTATCTCTCCTCATCTCCATTCAAAACATTTGAGAGATTGACTAAAACTCTACTACATTCCTTTTATTTCTCATCATCTCTATTTAAACTATTGGAGAGTTTGACTTAGATAGTTATATATTTATATATATCTATCTACACTAACAATATAGAGGCAATTTTAAATTTTCAAAATTAAAATTAATACTCTCAATTTAAAAAAAAAAAAAAAAAAAGAGAAGAACAAATAAGATTTAATTGAAATTTAAATATATGATTTAGATATCATCAAAATTCATCTAATCTAATCCTACCCAAATATTATATATGTATAAAAAATTAACTAATTATCACCGATGTAAAAAGTGAAACTAATTGTCATTTTTTATAATTAAAAAATATCAATTATTCACTAACAATCTATTAAATTTATTCAATAAACAATGTTTTAAACATTATTACTAAAATATTAGTATAATAAAACTATTAAACTAAAATCTAAGAGACATAGTAAAAAAATTAAAAATCAATTGACACATAATAAAGACTATAATCAATATTCGAATAAAAATAAAAGATAATTTTTCGTAGAAAAAACAAAATCAAATGAAGATCAATTGAAAGGACTTTCATTTGCAAAAATTCATAATAAAATGAAGGTCATCTGAAGAAAGTCATATTATAATAAAAAAGACTAAATAATTATATATATATATATATATATATCATATTTTTTAAAAAAAAATTGAGGATGGCCCCGTGTCCACTCTTGCCATTGTGTAGCTCTGTCCAAGAATGTTATTCTATATTTATTTATCTATATCTATATGATCCTAATTAAATTTTTATTTCTTTTACATCTCTTTCTCTTACACACAGTCTCATCTCTCATATAACTCTATCTTTCGAGAGTTTGGTTTGAACAACTATATATATATATATATATATCTAATAATAAATATAATACATCTAATACCCACTAATACCCTAATCTCTCTCTATATCATATTTTCATCTCTCATAAGTTTATCACATCTCTCATATAACTCTCTCTCTATACATCCGCCAACACACACATGTCAATATAAACTCTTACAAAAAAAAGAAGATATTTTTTAGGTGTAATGATTAAATATATAAATTGTGTACATGTTGATATTTTTTAGGGATCATGTTTTTAAAGAAGTTTTGTCAAAAATGTTTTAAAAATAGTGTTTGTAAATTAATTTTGATTTGTGTAACTAAAAAAAATAATAAAAAGTAAAGTATTTTTAAAATATTTATATTGAGTAACTTGTAATTGAGGTTTTTTGAGTTGCTTAATGCTTTCAGATACGGGTTATTACTAGTAGATATATATTTTTCTTACGTTCATTCTATCACTTTCTTATTTCAATTGTTTAATTTTTTTTATTGTATTAAAAATTTTATGCAATTGGTCGTTATTGTTCATATTTAAGAATTTTAATTCTTTAATATTATTTTGAAAGTGAAAGCGAAAGTGAAAGTAGTTGCGATTTACCTTCAATTAACTTTAATTTTTTTGTAAGAGTTTGTCTCAATTATTATTCAACTATTGATTGCATTGTTTATAATATTTTAATCAACTTTTAAAATGTATACTCTAATTAGTTCTTAAAATTTAGTTTAGTGACTATATTCTAATATCTCAATCATAATTTTATGAAGATAGTTTGTGAAATAAATTAAAAAAAAAAAAATAAAGATCGTAAAATTCGATTGTGTTTGAATGTAATATTTTAAATGTTAGGGAGCTATGTGATTAACCGACAAACTTTGGAAGTCTGAATGTAATTTACGGCACACATAATTATCTGTAACTGAATTTGCGGGAGTTGCATCAAGTTTTTGATTTTGGAGGATTTTGTAACGAAATCAAGATCAAACAGAATCTATAATGTAGGGTTTGGTTGATTGGAATACTGGGTTTTGTTGGGTTGACGAATTACGAGTGACGGTGGTTAGGTGAGAGAGATTGGATTTGGACGTGCATATGGTTGAGAGATTTCTTGGTTTTGATCAGCTTGAAGGTCTCTTCAATGGAGAATCAGGGTTTAATTTCTCTGATGAAAACGATATTGATTCAGTTGGGCTTCTCATCTTCTTCTTCTTCTTCGAGCTTCTAACACGAAGACCTCTGTTTTTGCTCTGCTACTTTATTTTTGCATCACCCCCCTCTTCTCTCTCTCTAAACTATCTCTGCCGCTCTCTAAAATTGTCTGCAATCAAGGGTTGCAAATGGTGGTAGAGATTACAGAAGACAGTTTTAACAGGTAATTGTTGTTACTTTTATTGCTGTATTGTACATGTTCATAATTTATCTCATTCTCTTTGTTTGATTTTTTTTTTTTTGATACTGGGCATATACTTTAAATGCTTTGATTTCCACTCTATTTTATGTTCTACCTGTTGGTTTCTGGGAGATTGGTTTTGCTCATTACAAGATTTTGCCTTGAATCATGCACCCGGGGTTTGCTACCAGTTCTACTCGGACGCACGATTGATAAAAAAAAAAAATGCCTTGAAGAATCTCTGTTTTTCTCACCAAAGCATCCAACCAAAAACCATTGGTAAACCATCCACAGGTTCTGCAGACATTGACCTTGATATTGTAAAAACGTAGGTTTTATCCAAAATATCTGTTGCCTTTTCTTGATGTCCAAGGAATCCTGATTAAAAAAATGAGCTGAAAGCTCTTCAAATATTTCTTAATTTGTCTTCATGACAAAAGTCAAGCTATATCTAATCCATTAAAAACTGTATGAGCAGCTAGTATTGGTGGACTTGATCCAAGTTCAACCAGCCTCCCTCCATTGGGATTCAACTCAACATGGGCAAGAAGCTCCAAAAGAAGAAGAAGAGTCAATTCCCGTGGCGTGATCTGAGCCATGACAGAAGAGGAGACAGTTGCAATTATGAAATCCTAAGCAGTCTAAGGTATAATCTGATTTCTGCCGTAATTATTGAAATAATTCTATCACCACTTATGATGAGAAGCCCTTCAATTTTCAAAACAGGTTCCATATTGAGGAAGAACGGAAAGATGATAGGATTAGCGTTTTGCCTGATGAGATCCTTTTGAGCTTTCTTTTCTTGATCCCTTTCAAAGATGCATTAAAAACTATAGCTCTTTCGACTCGATGGAGAGATTTCTGGAACAGGGCTGCTTTGGTAAGACACGGTGATATAGAAGATATTGACTGTGCTGTAGGTGACTTACTCCTTCACTTTGATGAGCTCAATCCACTAGATCATGCTGGGAGACTTCAATTTCATTTCAGCCGAGGTCTGATCCTCTTAGCTGTTATTGGATTGGAAAAGAATCTTCGTCTTGATTTCTCCAAGGGAAAACAAGAATTTCCGAGACAGTTTGGTTGGCATTTGGTGTTGAATAGCATAGACCCTACTCACCAGCCTCCTTCCTACGCCACCTTTGTCAAAAGTCTTAATTTAACTTCTGTGAGTTATCTTACCAATGAAATTGTTTCTTCTCTGGTTTCAAACTTTCAATCTCTTGAAAGTTTAACAATTGCAAGGTGTGAGGGGTTACGATCTTTACGTGTTGATGTTCTGTCAAAGCTCCTGAATTTGACTATTCTGGACTGTCCTCACCTCAAATCTCTTTATATTGAAGCCTATGAACTTCAATCTCTTCGTTATCGAGGGCCAGTTTGCTGGTTTTCACTCCGGGGTGTGGTTCACTTAGCAGATGCCATGCTTGATTGCAGATCTGACCCAGGCTATGATCATCTTTTGCACAAGGATTTTGATCCACTGGTAGAAGCCATAGGGGATGTTAAAACCCTTACACTATGTGGATGGATGTTCAGGGTACGTTCTTGTTTAATTCTTCCTTATCCTGATCTGGGTGGTTCTGATTCTGAAAATCTCTTCTCAGCTGAAAACACATATCTAAGTTCACAGTGATTTTGGGATTGACTGTACTGTTTGATACATCATAATAGATCAACCTTGGGAACTTCTTGCAGGCAGTTATCCACCTACCATCACTAGGATTCAATAAACTCGAAGATTTATGGTGGATAGATAGTTCGATGGAAGAATACAATATTGATGCCTTGTTCGCCTTTCTAACAGTATGTCCTTCACTGAAAAGGCTCTTCATAACTGTAAGTTTCCTTCTCTCTCAGCCCTCTTATGTTTCAAGACAGATGCAAATTTATCAACACAGATTTAGTTCTAGCAAATCTGCTCTATGTTTATCATGTGGACTCTAAAAATATGGCAAGTGAGTTGAACTGAAGTTTGTTTCCATATGAATTTTAGTTCAAGAATTTCCCTAATCATGCCCAAAAAAAAAAAACAGATCAATTGATCAAATTCAAGTGTTAAATTTCTCAGAGTTGATTCTGAAGCCCTGTTTTTCTAGTAATATTTTAAGTGTTTCAATTTAGCACACAATAAGTTGGATAATTTGCTGTCACAGCTCTTTTTAGACCTGATCTAAAGTCATTCTTGTGATATTCTCTAATGAATGCTCTAATTGTTTTTCCCTAATGTTCTTTACATCCGGCTACCAAAATTTGCAGATTGACCGTACAAGCTACTGTTCACCGAGCTCTTTGTCAAAGTGCTACAATAAAGTTGGTAAGCTAGCAAAACTGCGGCATCTTAAAGTGGTTAAATTGGAAGGATTCACAGAGGATGAGAATGTAATTCTTTTGAAGGAGCTTTTGCTCGAGGTATTCAGTGTGGAGCCACGAATCGTAGTAGCAACAGATGGGAGCTACCCTCGGACTATAGTAAAGATTCCAAAGCATCAAAGGAAGAATAATTTAAAAATGGTGGAACCAAAGTCACAAAGGAGGAAGTCCCTTTACAAATTTGTGGAAGAACTTGAAGACAACATTGGTTTGTATTCAAAACATGCTCATTTTGATTTGTAGATTCAATTAATTTTATTCACAGAACTACAAGTATACACAAGTATCTTTGATCCTTTGCTTAGGCGGTCAATTTGGTAAATGGGGTAAGGTATTGGGGCTGGCAACTGTATTGATTCAACATGCAGAATTGTTATGCAGGGTGGTGTTAGGGATCATGGGGAAATCTTTTACTGTAATAAAGATTTCAGCAATGGAACAGGGGAGAGGCAGTGGGAAGTAGCCCCCCCCCCCCCCCCCCCCCCCCCCCCCCCCCCCCCCCCCCCCCCCCCCCCCCCCCCCCCCCCCCCCCCCCCCCCCCCCCCCCCCCCCCCCCCCCCCCCCCCCCCCCCCCCCCCCCCCCCCCCCCCCCCCCCCCCCCCCCCCCCCCCCCCCCCCCCCCCCCCCCCCCCCCCCCCCCCCCCCCCCCCCCCCCCCCCCCCCCCCCCCCCCCCCCCCCCCCCCCCCCCCCCCCCCCCCCCCCCCCCCCCCCCCCCCCCCCCCCCCCCCCCCCCCCCCCCCCCCCCCCCCCCCCCCCCCCCCCCCCCCCCCCCCCCCCCCCCCCCCCCCCCCCCCCCCCCCCCCNGGCCCCCCCCCCCCCCCCTCCCCACCTTTTTTTTTGACTTTCTGTAGGCAAACCTATCTTGCACTCTTGCGCATGTATCCATGTAGAACTCAACATACAGGAGGCTCCCCATCAATTTGACAACTCCTAATTGGAGAAAATAGTTTAATAATACAACACACATAGGCTTTGGACTATAAACCGCTACCAACTTACATTCAATTATTTATTGCATAATTAAATAGCTTATTGACCCTGGGGAATTTCCAAATGATTATGTAGATACAGTATACGAACATCACAAAGGAAAATGTCCCAATGACCACCAATGTCCTTCGTGAGTAAAACCCTCAATGGCAAGAGGACTCTGAACTTATTAGACTAATTTCAGAAGCCACATTTCATCTACTTTTATGCCATTGTTCTCAGTCATTCCATTGATTTTCATCAAAACTAAAATCATCAACAAAATGCAAAGTGTATATTTGTTTTCTTCTAAAAATAATAATAAGAATAATAATAATAAACAATAGTGGTAGTGGTGGTGGTGGTGGTAGTAATAGTATACTTCACATGTATTTTCAGCAAAACTTATATTTAATCCAAAAGAAAATACAACACGAACTAACCAACGAATATTCAAATCAATAAGCAGAGAAACTTAGATGTTGCAAAAAGGGAAAAGAGAGTACAATTATTGTTTATCAATGTTCTGTTACATATACAATGAATTATATTGATACTAACGGCCCCTGTGCGATGTATGATATTTTCAATCTCTTCTATCACAATTCTATTACCTCTACCACCACCGTCACGGGCCATCACCCCCACCCCCACCCCAACCCTAGTATTATTAAAAGTTACCTATTATTGTACTAAACAAAGGAGAATAAAAAAATCAATGAAATCAACATAGCCTTGTTCCATATACATAAACTACATAAATGAATCATCCAAAGGATATTAAAAAAAAAATACTAATTTTGTATTGAATTGCTTGAACACAAAGACCTGGAACATGAGCCAATAGTGAATGATACAAAAATTACAGGAAGATAAAACTACAAAAATCAACTCTAAAATTAAAAATTTAAACATTACCCACCATGTTTTTTTGATCATATATCCACCATATTTGTGTTTGTAATTTTAGTTTTTATCACAAAAATTAGATCCTTAGTTCAGAATGGTAAGAGAGACCATGGAGATAATGAGAGGTTCTAATTTTTTTGACCCAAGAAGAAATTAAATTAAAGAGACAATAGTGTTTGTGGACGATAATTTTTCGCACAATAAATAAATTGATAGACCACTCATTTGGTAAACTCGAGTTTATCTTGAAAGTCGAAGGTTATGTAACAAATAAGTGTTGAGAGATGGTGACGAAACTTCTTTCAGATGATCGAATCGTCGGAGAGTGACCGAACTAGATCATGTCACTTAAAAAGAAAGTTTAGAAGAGCGCCAGAGTGTTTTTCGGAGTGACTCATGCAACGATCAAGTCAGAATGTGAGAGAGGGGTGGGAAAACACTATTCTATTGTTTAGGTGAGAATTTTCGTACCTTAAACTTGAGTTTGAGAGAGTTACTTATACCTTCATGGAGTCAATCACAGTAGACGACTAGGTTTCTTGGAGGGCAGACTCCTCATTGACTCACTTAGAAGGCAATATGTGGTGCAGAGTGCCTTTCTTTTCTCATGGAAAGTTTTTGCATTTAATGCTCAGATCCCCGAGCATTTAACGCTTGCCTTTTTTAGTTCGCCGAGCAATAGATATGTCTTATCCCTTTAATGGATCATTTAGTGTTTTCCATTGTAACTGCGCATGCACAGGGGCACTTTCGTCCATTGCCCTCCAATAAGTCATGTCATCTGGGCTTTGTATTTGGTACGCCCTCACCATTGGTTATCAAACTGTCTTCCTTGCCATTTTGACTGTCTTGTGAACAAGAAATGATGATTAATAGCCAATCATGCTTCTAATGTGCTGACGCCATTCTTGATCCTTTTAAGAACTTGGTCATTTGTCATGGGCCAAGTGCCAAGACGACCATGAGCACTTCGACGGAGAGGACTTGAGGTCGAGGATATATGTCAGGTGCAAATCCCCTCGGGGGACTTGAGACGCTAGAACAGGTGTCAAGTGATGATAGCTCCGAGAGAGACCTATGTCGAGGACACATGTCAATTTCAAAGAGCTCTGAGGGGATTCATGTCGAGAAAATGAGTCACTTCTTGGGAGGTTCGAATCTTGTTGGGTCGAGAACACGTGTCAATCAAAGAGAACTTCGAAGTGTCTTATGTCGAGGAAACGTGTCACTCAATGGAGACTCCTAGCTTATCATGTCGAGGCCATGTGTTGCCTCCCATCAATTTGCAAAAATGTCCCATCAGTGAATATGGGTGAGAAGTTTACAAAATGAGTTAAAGTGATGTGAAGAATTAAGTGCAAAGAGATACAACAGGAGCTGGTCAAGTAAAGAGATTATTTTTATCCCAAAAAATCAAGTTGTTTAAAAAAAAAAGTCAAAACTACCAATTGTAAATTGTCACCTACATTTTCTTAAAATTTTAAAAACAATCAAAAATCTAGAAAAATCATAATAGCATATTTGGGGCTTCTCACAGCAACTACGTTGTTATACTGTATAAGATAATAGTGTTGGTCTTGGGCGATGCATAGAAATTGCACGTATCATTGTCCACTTTTGTTTTTAATTGTCATCATACCATTAAAAAAATTAGATAGAAAATTATATAAAAATAATTAGGGTGATAAAATAATTATGATGGTGACACTATGTTTCTAAAAAGATTTAAATTTGTGGCTCATTTTTTTTAAAAAAAAAATTGAATGAGTGATAGTTAATTAGTGGGGTAGAGGGGAAGTTACATGAGATGTGTGTTAGAACATAATTAGTTAAGTGATAATTATTAAACCCTTAATTTCAAAAAGATAAAGCCTTCACATGGTAAAGAGTATCATTAGACCAAATGTCAATTAGTAGTTAAGTGATAATTAGATAATTGAAAATCCTAAGAAAAAATGAAAGTGGGTGAGAAGGGTCACACCTAATTTGATTGTTTTATAGTATAGTAAGACTAGTTATTGTTCATGCCTGAAGGCACAGAGTAATAAAAAATGGTAAACAATAAATATATTTGTATTAATATCCAAAATCAAATCACAAACATAGAAGAGAGATAAATAAATTTAAACATTTGTTGTAGTGGTGTGAGAGGTGATGAGCGACAGTGGTTGTGGTAGGAGACAGTAATGGTTGTGGCGGGTGACTATGACCATGGTGGTGGTGGTGGTGGCGGTGGAGGCGACGGTAGCGACGAAAGCGACTGCGGCGGTGGTGGGGTGGTGGTGGTGGTGGTGGCGGCAATGTTGGGGGCGGCGGTGGTGGTATCGACGACTGCGGTGGTGATGGCAACAACTGCGACAACGACAGTGGTGGTGGCGACAGCGGTAGTGGTGGTGGCGGTGGTGGTAGTGATAGAAATAGTGATGGAGCGGTTTTAAATACTATTTTTTTAAAAAGTACTAATGAGAAATAATTCCTAAAAATACTTTTAAAAAATCATTTCAAACACCCTTAGGAGCCTATTTTTCCTATTAAATTTAGGGTGTTAATATTAGTCGTTAGATTAACTTTAAAGTAAAATTTAAAACGATGTTAACCGCGAAAAGTAAAAATTATTTTGTTTATCTTTTCAAATTTGAATTGTAAGCTACTTTGTTATACAGATATTATAAGATTACTAGTTATTGTCTATGCCTAAAAGCACAGGGTAATAAAAAATGGTAAACAATAAACATATTTGTATTCATATCCAAAATTAAATCACAAATGTAGAGAAGAGATAAAATAATTTAACCATCGATTTATAGTGGAGGTTGAGAAATGGTGGTAGGAGACAGTGATGGTTGTGGTGGGTGGCAATGACCGTGATGGCGGTCAGGGCAACGATGATGGTGGTGGTGGTGGCAACAGCGTTGGCGGAGGTAGAGACGGTGGCGGTGGTGGTAGTGATAGTGGCAACGGCAGCGGCGACAGGAGTTGTGATTGTGGCGACAGGAGTTATGATTGCGGCAACGGTGGTGGCGGCTGCGGTGATGGGGGTGGGGGTGGTGGTGGTGGTAGGGGGTGCGTTGGTGATGGTGGCAGTGGTTGTGGTGGCGGCAGCTGTAATGGCGGTGGTGGTGGCTGTGGTAATGGTGGGGCAGTTTTAAGCATTATATTTTTTAAAAATATTTATGAGAAATAATTTCTAAAAATACTTTTAAAAAGTCTCTCTAAACACACTCTTAATGAAATATTTTTTTTATTAAATTTAGGATATTAATATTAGCCGTTAGATTAATTTTAAAGTAAAATTTAAAGCAATCTCAACCGCGTACAACAAAAGTTATTTTATTTATCTTTTTTAGATTTGAATTATAAACTACTTTATTATATAGATATATATATATTAATCAAATCAAATTTTTATCATATCTGATTTGTATATAGCCATATTCATGTCCGATTTAAAGTATCCAAAAAAACTTGGATCAAATTCAAATAAACAAATAAAAAAATTAAACCATATCCAAATTTAGATCAGATTCGCACTGAAATCCAATCTTTTGATAGACATAATTTTAATATCAATACACACCAAATAATTTTCTACAATTTTCTGCAGTAAAAATCCACGTTCAACACTTAAAATATAGTATTTAGTTATCAATATTTAGTCATCATTATGTTAAATAAGGAGAGTACTATATAACTCAAATTTGTATTCTAAATGAAAGAGGACTCTTAGATGAGGAGGTCCCATCATTTTTTTAAATGAGATCTACTGATCCAATAATTCCCTTTATTTGAAATGCAAGTTTAAGTTACGGATTTATATTGCATAGCATCATTCGTTAAGCAATACCTTGAGAAGTTGACATCTCTTGAATTTCCACACACATTCCTTCACACGCAGATCCGTACCATTGTCATTGACGTCATATTATAAAAAAATTGGTTTTATTTTAGGGTAAATTACACTTTATTTTGTTGAACTATTATCCTTATTTTACTTTGCACCCTTAGCTATAAAAATTTTCACATTTTATCCTAAAATATCAATTTTATTTCATATTACTCCAATTGATAATGAATGTTAATTTTTTGATATGAGTGGTATGTATTGTCAATAAACAACTATCTATGTTACATGCGCAGATCAAAAATAATATATATATATATATATATATATGATTTTGCCCTTCCTAAGTTTCAAGTTTTATTTCTCTGGCCGATCTTCTTTTTCTTTCCGGCAACTATTTAGTTGTAAAAGATGTAAAATAAAGTGATACTAGGCAGGGAAGCTCTTTGGGATTTTTCTCTCTTCTTTGACAGATTTTCAAGTTTGTTGTTATCTATTGGAATGATATGAAATAAAATTGATATTTTATGGTGTAATGTGAAAAATTTTATAGTTGAGGGTACAAAATAAAATAAATATAATAGTTTAACAAGTAAAGTGTAATTTACTCTTTGTTTTATCTAAAATATTTGTTGCCATTTCTTGAGGTCCAAGGCACCCTGATAAACAAAATGAGCTCAATTTGCATCAAATATTTATTAATATGTCTTTATGACAAAAGTATTTTTTTCAATATTTCCGTTGTTTGAATAGATCAATGTAATATTATTTCGCTCACGTACCAAATTAATATTGAATCTTATGCAAAATAGTCTCTCCACACAAGGAGGAAAATCTATGGACGGTGGTCCCGAGAGGCTACGCTTCGTGGATGTGGATGCAATGTTTGTGGGGTTGGATTGATTCAAATCAAAATTTAAAAGTCGGATATATTTTTATTTTCATTGTTCATATTTGAATCTGTTAACGATCAAAAAATATGATCTGATCCGAATAACTTAATTTAACTAAATTATAAAAAAATTCATCAAAATTTTAATTAATTTTTTTAATATTTATACAAAAAATATATAAATATTTCGGATTGATTACACATATATTCAAATACAAATCCATAGGCTATCAAAAATTTGATTTAGATTGGGGTTCGAATAATGGATAAAAAATATCAAACCAAATTGGTATTCAAATTAGATTCGAATTCCATTAACAGGTCTCCCAAGGGGGATTCCTCTCGAAGGCTGAAGCATCCTTCAAGCAGGTTTGATCAATCATCAAGGACTTTATCCATTTTGGTCAGATAACGTGGAAGCGAGATTGGTGGCATGAGACGGCATAATATATAGATAGAGAGAGAGAGAGAGAGGTCAGTTTGTTTCACTTGTACTTTGCAGTTTGCATCCATACTCTCTTCATCTTCATTTTCTAGCACGAATACCTCTTCTTTTGATCTCTCTGGCTCTCTGTAAACTCTCTCTGCCTCTCCTTGAAGTAATAGTACTTGTGGACGAGATGCAAGGTTCAACCAGCTTCCCTCCATAGGGATTCAACTCAAACATGTGCACGAAGCTCCAAAAGAAGAAGAAGAATCATCAATTCCAGAGGCATGATCTGAGCCATGACAGAAGAAGAGACAGTTGCAATTATGAAATCCTAAGCAGTCTAAGGTATAATCTGATTTCTGTCCCGTAATTATTGATATAATCATATCACCACTTATGATGACAAGCCCTTCAATTTTCATTAGCAGTTTACCCGATGAGATCCTTTTGCGCTTTATTTCCTTGAACGCATTACAAACTATAGCTCTTTCGACTCGATGGAGAGGTTTTTGGAACAGGGTTGCTTTGCTAAGACATGGTACTATCGAAGATATTGACTGTGCTGTAGGTGACTTAATCCTTCAATTTGATGAGTTCAATCCACTAGCGCATGCACATCCCGATAGACTTCGATTTCAATTTGGCCGTGGACTGATCCTCTCAGCTATCATTGGATTAGGCAAAAAAACTTCATCTCGATTTCTCCAAGGGGGAACCAGAAATTCCGAAACAGTTTTTCTGGAATTTAGTATTGAATAGCGTAGACCCTACCTACCAGCCTCCTTCCTACGCCAACTTTGTCAGAAGTCTTAATTTAACATCTGTGAGCTATCTTACCAAGGAAATTGTTTCTTCTCTGGTTTCAAACTTTCAATCCCTTGAAAGTTTAACAATTGCAAGGTGTGAGGGGTTACTATCTTTGCGTGTTGATGTTCTGTCAAAGCTCCTGAATTTGACTATTCTGGACTGTCCTCAACTCATATGCCTTTATATTGAATCCTATGAACTTCAATCTCTTCGTTATCGAGGGCCACTTTGCTGCTTTTTACTCCGGGGTGTGGTTGATTTAGCAGATGCCATGCTTGATTTCAGATCTGGCCCAGGGTATGATCACTATAAGTACAAGCATTTTGATCCACTGGTAGAAGCCGCAGGAGATGTGGAAACCCTTACACTATGTGGATGGATTTTTAGGGTGAGAAGGACTTGCTATTTGTTCCTTTTTTGATCTGGGTTCTAAAAATCTCTTCTGCTTGAAAACAAATATCTAAGTTCACAGTGATTTTAGGATTGGCAGTACCTATTTGATACAGCATAATAGATCAACCTCAGGCAGTTATCCTCCCACCACCATCAATAGAATTCTCTGAACTCAAAGATTTATGGAGGATAGATAATTCGATGGAAGAACACAATATTGAAGCCTTGTTCACCTTTCTAACAGCATGTCCTTCACTGAAAAGGCTGTTCATAACTGTAAGTTTCCTTCAATAATTTTTCCATTTGATCAATTGATCTGTTTCTTTTGGCAAGATAAGGGAAATTCTTGAACTAAAATTATATGGAAACAAACCTCAGTTCAACTCACTTGCCATATATTTAGAGTCCACATGACAATCATAGAGCAGATGGCTAGGACTAAATCTGTTTTGATGGATTTGCATCTGTCTTGAAAACATAAGAGGGGTGATAGAGATTCAGGTTCAAGTGTTAAATTTCTTTGAGTTGATGCTGAACCCATGTTTTTCTTGTAATATTTGAAGTGTTTCAATTTAGCACAATTGCTGTCACAGCTCTTTTTAGACCCAATCTAAAGTCATTCTTGCGATATTCTCTGATGAATGCTCTAATTGTTTTTCCCTAATGGTCTTTACATCCGGCTAAGAAAATTTGCAGATTGACCCTACAAGCTACCCCCCACCAAGCTCTTTGTCAAAGTGCTACAATAAATTAGGTAAGCAAGCAAAACTGCGGCATCTCAAAGTGGTTAAATTGGAAGGATTCACAGAGGATGAGAATGTAATTCTTTTGAAGGAGCTTTTGCTTGAGGTATTCAATGTGGAGCCACGAATCATAGTAGCAACAAATGGGAGCTACCCTCGGACTATAATAAAGATTCCAAAGCATCAAAGGAAGAACAATTAGAAAATGGTGGAACCAAAGTCAGAAAGGTGGAAGTTCCTATACAAGTTTGTGGAAGAACTTGAAAACAACACTGGGTTGTATTCAAAACATGCTCACTTTGATTTGTAGATACAATTGTTTTATTCACGAAACTATAGTATACACAGCTGGGCATATGCTTTTGTGGGTAAGGTTGTAGGGCTGGCAACTGTATTGATTCAACAGGCAGAATTGTTGTGCAGGGTGGTGTTAGGGTACTGTAATAAAGACTGTATAATTAAATAGCTTATTAGACACTTGCGAATTTCCAAATGATTATGCAAATACAGTACACGAACATCACCATGGAAATTGGCCCCATGACCACCAGCGTCCTTGGTTGAGTAAAACCCTCAATGGCAAGAGGGCTCTGAACTTATTAGATTAATTTCAGAAGCCACATTTCATCTACATTTTTCCCATTGTTCTCAACCATTCCAATCATTTTCATCAAAACTAAATCATCAACAAAATGCAATGTGTATATTTGTTTTCTTCTGAAAAAATAAATAACGAACAACGGTAGTAAGCATCTTTTCAAATTTGTCTCTCAAATCTATTATCTAATTAACAGCAAGAATTATTGAATTTGAATTATTGATTTCCTCTACCAGCAAGCCAAAGGATGAAAGCAATCATCAGAACTGAATCCAGACGCCCTCAAGTTAAACTTCTCAAGAGAGAATTATGTTATATTTAGAGCAAATTTCAACCCTTGATTGCTCTAAACAAACTATGAAAGATATGCCTTGATACACTCAGTTGTTACATATACTTGAATCTACCTGTACTGGGAACAAAATACGGGACTTCACTGTTCTTTAAATTTAATGCATTTTAGCAACACCGGGATGATGGATGAACACATTGATGCAAAGAAAGAAGCAAGAAATCTAATTCACAAGGACTTAGATGGAACAGTGCTCGATCCTATTTGTTCTGTCTACCCATTTGTGGACAATGTGTGGTGGTTATTGCTTTTTCTAATACAAATATCAAAGATTACTCAGATCTTAGCAAAGTGCTAATTCAATGATCTGATAAATTGAATAAACTTTCACCCCTTCTACTTGCTCGTGTTAAACACAGTCGATGATCAGAAACCCAATTGATCACAAATGCAAAAGAAGAGTACTATTATATATTGAAACCTCTTCAGGAATAAAATTCATGGGGCCTCATTCTAACAAGTGGTTTTCCAACAGAAAATGAACCTTCCTCTTATAATAGAAGGGTGAAACAACAACTAAACATCAGACATTCCAAGCAAAAACAGTAAGATAAGATACCTTTATAGAGCTATCTTCCTTTTGGGTTCATAAGCTGTGAGAAAACCCCCGTTGATGTTGCATCAGACTCGTGGTCGCTAACAATGTCAACACCATACCCATCGACTGGCATGACATGGGGGACTGGAATGCAATTTGCACTATTCTCGTCTTCAACAGTTTCTATAGAAGCCTCTTGCAGCTGAAGAGCATATTCCAAATTCCATAAAACATCTCCCATTGCCGGCCTCTCATTTCCATATTCAGCCAAACACTTCTCAGCTGTTTCACCAAATTTTCTTAGGGAATTAACATTTACAAATCCGACTAGATGGGGATCCAATATCTGCCCTAGCTTGCCTTGTCTCTGCCAGTGCATTGCCCATTCCGCCACGTTAACTTGTTCTCTTGGCAGAGCAGGGTTTATAGCAGGCCGAGCACACAAAACCTCCATTAGTACTACTCCAAAAGAGTACACATCAGATTTCTCAGTGAGTTGCTGCCTGCGGAAGTAGTCAGGATCAAGGTACCCAAAACTTCCCTTCACAGCAGTGCTTACATGGGTTTGATCCAATGTAGGACCCAATTTTGACAACCCGAAATCTGCCACTTTTGCATTTAGATATTCATCTACTAAGATATTGGTTGTCTTAACATCACGATGGATGATACTATCTGCTGCTCCAGTATGTAGGTAGTGCAATCCTTTTGCAGCCCCAATGCATATCTCCAGCCTTTGCTTCCAAGTAAGTGGCGGCAGGTCTGATCCATACAAGTGTTTCCGAAGTGGACCACCAGCCATGAACTCGTAAACAAGGATCATCTCATTGAGTTCTTCACAGTAACCTATGAGAGAAACTAGGTGTCTGTGGCGAAGCTTAGATAGCATCTCGATTTCTGTTTTGAATTCAACAAGTCCTTGGTGAGAACTTGGGTTTCCCCTCTTCACAGCGACCACAACCCCATTTTCCAGCATTCCTTTGTAAACCTTTCCAAATCCACCCACACCTATAACCAAGCTCTCATCGAAGTTATTTGTTGCTTCTAGAATCTCAGAGAAAGGTAGAATTCGGCCCAAGTTCAAAGAAGGTGTCGTTGAAGCATAACTACCAGTCGAAACTTTAGTTTCTGTATTTCCTATATGAGTAGGAAGTGGCAACCAAGCTGGGGGTCGTCGTTGTTTTGTCTTCTTCGGATGACAAAAATACAAGAGAATGGCTGCTGAGATGAGTGCTAAAAGTGCAAAACTGCCTAAACAAGAGAAAATAATAAGCATTACATGCTTTTCCCTCTTGGGGGGTCCAGAATCAAAAGGATTTGCAGCAAATTTCCCATCAAGGCTGTCACTAGGATTACTCAATTTCATAATCTCCAAACCATTCAAAATCGCATTGGGCTGTGAATTCCTTAAATTAGGAGGGCCAACTTGAACTAAAATTTGATATGACCCCATTGAAACATTGACAACAAAATCTATGAAGTAAGCAGCTGATAGTGCCATTGTTTTGCTCGAGATATCGAAAGATTCCAAAGCAGATTGGTTGTTGATGTACACATTGAAAACCAAAGTATCAAGAGCTATACTAACAATGTCGCAGAAATGCATCCTAACAAAGTAAGTGAAGCCTTGTTCAACATGAAACACCCACGAAATGTTAAACTTCTGGTCATTTACGTTGGCATCAGCCATTTCTTGGGCAGTGGCATAAACCCAATTGGGACCAATGTCAACCGACTCTCCAGCAGGGTACTTAATTGAACCGGGATCCACGGAAACATTACGGGCAGAAACAGCATTAACAAGAAAAGGTTGATCTGATTCCCAAATCCTCCACAATGTATCATTCTTCGGTGTCAAAACTGGACCTCCCATGTTTACTCTATAAACTGTCTCGAAAGCAACATGAGTTGGGATCTCAAATGCTGAAGCACTTGGAATTGGGACAACACTTGAAGTGAATATCCCACTAGGCACAGAAACCACCTCTATCCCATTGATGAATGCAATTGAACCATTCCATGGAGAAAGCGTTAGTACTAGTTTTCGTGATCTTGAACCACCCACTTCAACAACATATTCCTTAAGCAAAGGATTATTTCTTCTCAATTTTGAAAAAGAAAACCCATGAAGCAGTGTAATTCCGTTGGCCACTACAGAGAAAACCGCGGATTTCAAGTTGTATTGACTATTCTCAACCGGATAAAAATGTAAACGCAGCCAATGCCGCCCAATTTGCCTGGTGCTAAAAGTATAAACAGTATTTCCAGTAGAAATTTGGGCAGAAGTATAGATATTAGAGACACCCAGTTCAGTGTTTGAAACCACCACAATGTGTGAATTTGAAGACAAACCCACTTTAGAATTGCCAATAGCAGGTTCAAAAACCCGACCATCATCAAGTTCTATTGATTTACTTTCCCCACAGCTAAGCAAGAAACTGTCTACAGGGTTAAAAGAAGAGTAAACTACTGATTGAACGCTCAAAGCACAAAATAGGCAGGTAAAAAACCATCCATTTTGATTACCCATTTCTAATCCACACAAAAACGGCGCATTGAGCAAATATAAGAGATAGAATGCTTATGAAATTACCTAGTTTTGTGTTACCATTGCTTCATTCTCACATACAGTCAGGTTATGCAACTCAAAGGAAAGAGGGCAATGAGAGAGAACGAGAGAGAGTAGCTAGGGGAAAAGTTGAAGAGGAGTGATGGGCCTGTGGGCATTGATGATGATGGTTTTTCCAAGATTTGGGGTTGTGACAAACTGTGATGAGTGTATCAGAGTGTGGGCGAGGAGGACTGACCAAAAAAAGCAATAACAAGTAATTGAATTTAATAAGTTGGGGGAACTGTGATAACTAACACACGCATTCTACAACTGTCCTCCTGCTATAATTTAATAACTGTCTCTCCGTGGATTCCGAGAAATCTCATGTTTACCCAAATCTTCTTCTTCAATTTTTCATCACAAACGAAGTGGAAGAATCTCAGTCTCCATCATGAATAAGTGGGTTTTATTAATAATAAATAATACTAATAATTAAGTCATGTCATTTGAAATGATAAATTTAATAAAAATATTTAGTAATTTCTCCGTTGATCCACTGCCTTTGGAGACATTGTCTCGGGAACTAAAGTTCAGGTCATACGTGGAAAAGCACAATCTCTGAACAAAGGAATTTATGTGAATCTTTTGAGGTTGTCACGTTGGACTTGGACCAAAGATTGTACTATTTATTTCTATCAATCAACCGGGTTCTAATTAGAATCTAAATTCACTCCAAAACCAGAACGAATGATGCCTAATTACAAGATTAAGACCAACAATAAGAGTTCTAAGATCATCTTCCGCCCTGACCTTTTTTGTTTATTTTTTTACTTAAATTTAACTTTGGGTATAAATAGTATAAAATATTTCTCTAATACTAGACACATATTCGTACCAAATGAAGAAAAACTCCTTTTGAAATTCAAATTAAGAAAGATTCAAATATTTAATGATGAGATTTTACTATCTTTTAAAAATTTAATGGTCATATTTTATTTTCTTTTAAATTGGGTTTGTTCTTGTTTAAATTTGATTTCTCTTCCTTTAAATTTAAATTTTTCCATTAGAGAGGTCCGTATCAAATCAAATTTTTTTTACCTTTTTTTTTTTATTCAAATTTGGATAAAAGTTTGAATTTTTATTAAAGATGGTCTAAGATCTCTTTGAATACCTTTTTTTTCTTCAATTTTTTTTTGGCCAATTATACTTGAATATTGTGGGTCCCACTTTTTATTTTTTATTAGTGTCTGAATTTGTATTAACTACTCCTTCGAGTTTAGATATTAGTCACCGTAATCTGATCGAATTTATAACATGTCCCCTGAGTAACAAATGTAAAGTAGTAGTAGTTCAAAGACAAATGAGAAGAGTTGGAGAGCACTTCAAAGGCAAAGGCAAACAAATGTCTTTTGTTTTAGTCTTACATTGAAAAATGATGGGAGATAGGGAGAGTTGAGTTACCTATAAAAAACAATGACCTCTTGCTTTTATTTTTAAAGCTTTCAAGTCTTATTTTTCAAAGACAAATGAGAGTATTTGTAGAGCACTTGAAAGACAAAAGTAAATCAATGTCTTTTGTTTTTGTCCCACATTGAAAAATGAGGGGAGATAGGGAGGGTGAGTTGGCTATAAAAGGCAATAGCCTCTTGCTTTTTTTTTGTTAAAGCTTTCAAGTCTTATTTTTATGAAATTTGATTTAAAATTCCTCGTTTTTGAGGTAAGTGCAATTAGTAGTAAAAAAAAAATTGAGTATTAAAATTTGTTGATATAATTTTTTTAGAATTAAATGGATTAAACGAGTTGTGTTGTGTTACCTGTTTATTAAACGGATCGTGTTCGTGTTGAGATTTTTTACCCGTTTATTAAATGTATTGTGTATGGGTTTACACGTTTTTCACCTGTCACCCGTTTAACCCGACACGATTAACACCCCTACACCAAATTAGATTTATTTGACAAAAGTACACACTAAAAAATGTAGGGTTATTAAATTCTTAATTTTGATACTTATTTGTATCTAAGTACACAATTTGAATTTGCCTAATTTTTTTGTGACATTTTTGTCCTCCATTGATCCATGTGTATGTTCTTTGGAAAGTGGTACATTAAATATCTCCTAAATTTATGAGAGAACTTTAGTATTTAATGCACTTTGATTCATGTGTATTTGTTAATATATATATATATTAACAAATACATATATATGTATTTATATGTATACGAGTATGTATATATATATAAATATAAATATATATGTATTTATATATATACAAGTATGTATATACGTGTAACTATATATATATACGTGTAAAGTGTAACATTGAAAGTGTAAAGTTTAACATTTTTTAAAGTGTAAAATGTAATATTAAAAGTGTAAAATATTATCTTATGTCTCACTTTTCTTAATGAAAAATATAAAGTGTTATAGGGTAATATTGAAAGTAATAATAACAATGTAGCAGTAACAATGTAACAAGCTATTTACACAAGGTAAGAGAAGATATTACCTAAAGTGTTACACAAACAGAATATATATGTCGTACTTTACACTAAAAGTGCTAATTAATTGAGAAAGTGTGAAAGTGTTACATTTTCAATACTAACATGTAACATTTTACATTTTTCATTAAGTAAGGTGAGACATAAGGTAATACTTTACACTTTACACGAATATACATACTTGTATATGCACTTTTATATATATATATAAACAAATACACATAAATCAATGTGCATTAAATATTAAAGTTCTCTCATAAAACTAAGAGATATTTAATGCACCATTTTTCCTAAAATGGGCATTTATGTCTTTGTATCTAACTAGTGTACATTTTTCCAAAATATTTTTTAATATGTATTTTTTGTCAAATAAATCTAATTAGGTGTACCGCCTTTCAAAAATCCCATAAATCTAATCGAATTGTTGAAAGTTTTTGTTTGGGCTTAAATCTGTGTTTTTTGTGGGCTTATTTCTCACATATTGAAATTTTTTGTTTGGACTATTATTACATTTATTATTGGACATTCCTTGGGGCCTAAAGGCCACACTTTATTGGCCTAATGATTAAGCCGGCCGTAACGTAATATAGGTTCTTTTTTGAATCGAATTCTAGTTATTACAATCCATTTTAATAAATTAGGATGGTGCCCATGACAGAAAATGAAAAATACAAATATGAGAAGAGTTTGAAATAGATAAAATTAGATGGTTAAATATAGTTAGATAAAAAAATTAAGTGGTTAAATATGATTAAAGAAAAATTATATAAAGTTATAAGTGGTCATTTTACAAGAAATTAAGGATAATAGTGATATTTTATAATGCACAATTAAGTAAAGTGATTGTTATGTTAGTAATTGTAGTCAATCTTTGGAAATTATAGTTATTTTATGGGTGAATATCATACTCCATCTCTCTCTTAATTATGGTATAGATAAGTCAATACAAATTTGATTATACACAATATTAATTTTCCCTACCTAGACCATATGTTGGGTACCCGTTTCTAACTAAACCATCAACAAATGGCCCAAAAACTTTTGGCCTATCATGCAAAAGGGAAGTGGAAGACATACAGGCTGCCCCCAAGAACCCTACCACTCAGGCCACTCATCCTTAATTGCATCTTATCCAATTCAGTTCAAAAAAACGAAAAGAAATGAAATGAAGGGGAAAAAAACCCCAAAAAAAAAAAAAAACACATAAGCAGTAGGCACCAAGTTCCAACTTCAATAAGTTGAAAGGTGCAGTATTTACATCCCTCTTGAATGAGAAGGTAGAGCTGCTTCTCAGAGACAGTAATGGCAGTTTCATCACTCTCACTGAGCTTGGCTTCAATAACCTTATCTAACAGGGCAAGTTTCCCAAGTGTACTTGGTGCATTATATTCAGTCTGATATATACATATATGAGTGTGTGTGTGTGTGTGTCAAAGAGAGAGAGTAACATTCTAACCTTTGATATTTTTGTCTCACAGGTGCCTCATTCGACCAGCACACCTAGGCCTATAGCATTTTGTTCACAAAACATTATCACCTGCTCAAGAGAGACATCCTATGATGAAGAAAGTAAGATACTACTTTGAGGTCTTTTATTTGAGTTAATTCAATTCAATCCAACACAGCCTTTATTCAATCTATTTGCATTTGGCATCGATTACATGAATATTGTTCCTCTATAGTACCTCTTTTTTCTCGATTGAATCGTAAGCTATCATATCATAATTTTTGCGCATCTCTATCAAATTACATTGATATGTATCAATTCATGCTACAGTTTCTTAATAAACATGTCCAAACCCACCTTGAGTTGTGTTATACAGAGTGAAACTCTACTTGTCTGCAACAGCTTTTGTGTCAGGAACACCCATAGCCAAACATGTCCTGCTCTTGAGTTTCAGAGTCTGATATGTCTTAAATTGTTGAATCTCAAGTAATGGGTTGCTTTAAGAATCAATTTTAATGCAAGATCTCAATGCAGTTGTTCGTTGGATGTTGAGTTTTAGTTATAAGTGAATCTACAAGTTAAGTTAATACAGTGACCTACTGGACAATTTCAGGAAATTGCAAGAGAAGAGCTCTCCTACTTGGATTAGGTGCACTCACTTGGGGCTTGACCCCTCCAGGTTCCCTTCTTGCTGAAGGTATCATGGTCGGTACTCATTTCTATACATATTTAGCAATCTCTACAGGAGACCTGTTTTACATCACAATGCTAGCTCCGTAGCAAATCACCCTATCCATAGATTGGGTACATACCTAAAGTGTGACATTATTTACATAAAGTGTTTGCTCTCAAATCCAAACCCACAACCTTTAGATTATTGGACATGAACCAATGGCACTGTTACTTATCATTTGTTATTATCTTAAAGCTGGTATTACACTGTTACTGTCAATCTGTATTGTGCAGAAATACCAAAAGGCTATGAAGCTTTTGTTGACTTATCAGATGGCTATACATATTACTACCCTTCAGATTGGAGAGTAAGTCGAAGAATTAAATCTTTGAATCGAAAGAAAATTTTGGCTGTGGAATATAACATTTTTGACATAAAAGGATCTCATTTCTTGTCAGGAATTTGATTTCAGAGGGCATGATTCTGCTTTTAAGGACCGGTACCTGCAATTGCAAAACGTTAGAGTGAAATTTTTACCAACTGATAAAACAGACATCCATGATTTGGGTCCAATGGAAGAGGTAATAATCTTAATATCTCTGAAGTTGTTTGTTTTTTAAGGCAATTCTTACGTTCTCTCACTATTTCGTTCTTCGAAGGTTGTTCCTAATTTGGTGAAACGTGTTCTCTCTACACCAACTCAAATTGCAAACATATTCAACATGCAGGAGGTAACTTTTGCTTGCTCTATTATGCTGGATGGACCAACACCATAAGGGTTCTTATTTCTTACTTCCTAGGCATTTTTAAGAGCATAGAAGGCCAAGTTTGTAATGTTATATAATGATTGTTGGTAAGCAAAGGGAAGAGATATGGTTGATTAAATTTTGTCTTATGGCTATCCACTGAATGCAGCGAACCACTGACGGGAAGAACTATTGTACGTTTGAGTATACGCTCACATCTCCAAATTTTTCTCGAGCTGCTTTTGCAACGATAGCAATTGGAAATGGTACAACGCAACACCATCTGTATCTTGTATTTTCATTGATCGTGCTACTTGATGTTTTTGGCTCACACCATGTAGGGCAAGCATGAAAGTTGCAAGGTTCATGTAGCCTTTCGACTACATGCTTTGTCTGTCAACTTGGCTATATCATCTCCACAATGTTGATTTGTGGTAAAATTTGATCCAGGAGTTCCATCACAGCCAGTCAAAAGTTCACAATCCGAAAAACTCTGATATATATACAGGTCGTTTCCCAGACCTTGCAGTAGCGGGAATTTTCCTACACTGGCTGCCCCCCCCCCCCCCCCCCCCC